TAAATGTAATAAAAATTCACCTTAAAGGTGTTATTTTATAAATAAAAGTAAATAAACATATATGTATTGATAATAATAACATGAATTGTTAGCCATTTACCTTTTATAGTTGCTGTCCATTAGCTGGTTTTACACCTAAGCTACTGCCACGGAGTATACAAATTTTTGCAATAAAAAGTTACAATAACTTTACTAATGAATATAAATATGACGTAATGATCTCAAAAACATGCTACTAACGAGCCAACAACCCAGCTAACACTGCCAAACATAGAACCAAGCGAAAGGCATTCTTGGGTCACAACAGCCACAAAGAATAGATACAATAGAACTAGTACGGTACTGACCAACCTACATTGAAAATAAAATAATAGCCGGGAACAATAATAATTTTTGGAACGATACTTACAATAACCAAAAAAAAATTAAATCCACACGCTTTAGAAAAAAAATATATTATGGAAAATTTGATTTTAGCATTTTTAACGGACGATGGCTCTCGTAAAAATTGGACGACGTATTTCCACGAGGGCTGAAAAAAAAAACAATGAAGCTGAAAGAGAGCCACACGAGAACATAATAGATGATTAGGGACGTACAAAACAAAAAAAAAATAACACGAACGATCAATGCCACAGCAATAAAACAGTTACGACTGGAAGTCTGGAAGACTATGACAGTTCACACTTTGACGAGGAAATTATTTACGAGCAGAAAACTGAATGGAAACTTTAAAAAACTTTATGATCACTACGTTCTACGGTCAGACGCCTTAATGACAACGACCAGTAATAATAAACAAATATTAATTAACGATGCGGCGATCGGCGCCGCGACCATGAAATGATAACACACTAAAAAACAAACATTGATAGGGCGGTGCGATTTGCGCTGGGCTGTTGATATCACTTCTGCTAAAAGTGGCGCCGATATCATCTGTAATACCTGTGAAAAATGTTCGCACAGTAGTATACACCTACCAACCACCCAAACGCGCGAGAGGATCGTTTTAAAACAAACGTTTTAGACGATTTAATTCTTTTTAACTTTAACTCCCTTCACAAAGTTACCACAATCTTATATTGTACATTTGTACATGTCGGGCAGATGGCTCAATTTTTTTTGTTATGTAGATTTGTTTAAACGACATGCAGTGCTATCTAGCGAGAGTTCTTTTTACTCACGAAATACCAACACTACATTGCAGATCGCAGCACCGGATTAATACTCAATTGTCATTATTATATTATTATCATTATTATAATATCATTGTAGTTTCGATGCAATACTTTGTTCGTTTTGGATCTTGGCCGTTCCTTTGTCGTCTCGTCTATTGTTCTGCTTTTAAATTGAAACCAATAAATATTGAAATCGTCCAGAATAAACAACGTATTATACTGTTATTAAACTCTGTTCAAAATTTGTAAATTATTTTGTAGTTAGAAATTCATGAAAGTATTATTTTTTTATCTAAGATTTGAAATTTTAAACCAAGATTCCTCACAAATTTTACTATCCATCACAAAAATAAGAAATTACTGGTAAGGCATATTTATATTTATAAAGGTAATATTGAAAAAAACTTACCAACAACCAAAAAGATAAAATATATTTATTGAAACTCAAAACAAGCAAGCTAATGGTAGATACCATGTTATTCACATCTTATGTTTATCATAAATTTTTACTTAATATTAACTTTTAACAATATTATTTTTAGTTTGTTTTTTTAGCTCGACATTCTTAAAATTATTATTATAGAATATATATATGACAATTTACGTATCTGATTGTGTTTTTATTTTTATGTAGCTGTAAAAATATTTTATTATAAAATAATCGTTCAGGACACAAATAACACGTTACAAATTACAATAGGTAAGTTGTGTACAAACTATCTTATCGTTGTTTCTGCCGACAACCGATAAGTATTTTCTACTTTTATAAGTGTCTCTGATACCTATCAGAGTAATAAATTATACTATTATCACGACCGATAATGATCATGTCAATTTCAAACATCATTGCTTATATATTTAAACTTTATGAGTACCAATAAATAACTGTTATGGATATTGATTCAGTATGCGCTCGTTATTCGTTTGATTACCACGCATTACGTTTTGAAAATTAACAATTTTCGATAACCGTCGGCAGAAACAACGATAAGATAACCGTAGGTATATTACGGTAAAATAAAATATTTTTCGCTGTTAAAAAAAAATAATTTTTAATAGAAAACGAAGAAAGGTACCGTGGACCACCTATGACTGGCCCACGGACCACCGGTTGGGAAACACTGATTTAATGCATTATTATAAGGAACTTATGTATTATTATCTTAGTTATTAATATGTTTAATTCTTAATTTTTTAATAAACAAACAGCTGTAATTTATTTTAATATATTATTTTGATGTAGATTTTAATTAATGTATAGGTATTTAATACATACTGTAGGTACTTGATGATATTTTTAACATTTTTGCTTGTTTATATTATATTATTATTTTATTCATGTCATTTCTGTAATTAGGAACTTATATTGTATACCTATTACCTATATTTAATATTTTACTTAAATAACAATACTTAATTTATAAATTGTATTGGTTATTCATTTCCTTCAAACAATCAAAAACTTAATTTTTACTTTGGTAAAATGATCATGTGTTATTTATTTAAACTGTATAATTTTTTATTATAATTTTCAAAGAAGAAATCATAGTTTTTATGAAAAAAAAAAGTGAATTGTTTTAAAACCAAGAATTATTTAAAATAAGGAAAAGTAACATAAAAACGATGCTTACAGTTCATTATTTGTTTATTTTATATAAAACAAAAACAAATTAATTTAATCTCAATAATCTATGAAAATAAAAAATTGTAACATAAAATCAATGCATGAGTTTCTTTCTTAATATTTTGAAAAAAATCAATTTCAAGAAATTTTTCTTTAAATTAATTCACATAATTTTCCAACAGTTTAATACTAAAGTAATTAAATTTATGGATTATTTAATTAAAATTAATGAAATAAGACATTGGTTTAACGAAATCATACCCATTTTTTCTTAGTTTTATGTACTTTTTTCATTGATATTAGTAAATATTTTTCTGAGTGGGGAATGGTGAAATAAAGGTTTCTCAAAGATACTGATTAAACAAATAATGGAAGAGAAATAAGGGCCTTAAGCACCCCAATTTTTAACTCTAATTGCACATATGTCTATTACAATTTACTGTTTAATTATTTTAGCCTATAATCATGTCTAAGATCAAATTTATGGGAGAGTCAGATCTGCTATAAAAGTATAAATTGTTGAGTTAAAAATGAATTCATAATAATGACACAAACGTAATTGATAATATGGACACTAATGATATAGAAATTAACAATAAAATATATATATATATATATAAATTATTGATATATTATACATGGCAAGAACTATACTTTAAATAAAGTTCAAAATAAAATTAATGGTACAATGTCATACATACATTTAAATAATAATTATTTATTAAATATTGAGAACAATGATAATGTACATTAAATGTTAAAAAGTATTAATTTTATCACTGAATTGGTAATAAAAATATCAAAAATCGATATTTTTCACATTAAAAATGAATATTTTTGAAATATTTGGATAGCTCTTCATCGATACATTTGACTATTTGCGTACCAAACTGATAAACTTACTTGTTTCATCCAAATAGTTCATACACAACTTACCTATTGTAATTTGTAACGTGTTATTTGTGTCCTGAACGATTATTTTATAATAAAATATTTTTACAGCTACATAAAAATAAAAACACAATCAGATACGTAAATTGTCATATATATATTCTATAATAATAGTTTTAAGAATGTCGAGCTAAAAAAACAAACTAAAAATAATATTGTTAAAAGTTAATATTAAGTAAAAATTTATGATAAACATATTATAATAAAATAATTGAACTATTGTAATATTACTAACACTTATACAAAATATAATATTATTTTTTTTGTTTATTGATGTTTATAAACGATAATAATAATATATTTATATTTTTATTTTGATCTATAATACTAAAAGTATAACGAACACACTTAAGTTTTGTTTGTGATATTAAAGTTGATTGCCGCATGGCATTATTAGGTAATCATATGACATATACATTTACAGATATACTATATGGTTTTAACAATTTTAAGGAATCAAACAATCAATGGTATTTTCATTATTTTTAATTGACGAAATTTTAAATAAAAAAACAATTTTAACACCAATTATTATAATATAGGGGTACAACACGATTGCGAACGTTTTACCTTTTTTATAACACGATTGCGAACGAATAACTCTTATCAGAGAATTTGTTTTTTTAGACGAAAATCGAACGATTGCGAATGTTTTTTTAGACAACGTTGCCAAGTTTATAATTTCTGAATATTTTAAACATTTATTTATTTTTATTTATTTTTAACATTTATTATAAACATTTTTTTTTTTTTTTTTTAATATAAACTATTGGTATTAATAATACAATTAAAACAATAACTCTTCGTTACAAACTAAAATAAAATTATACAATTGGTATGTAGCGTTTAAAATGTTGATTAATTAAAACAATTTTCGTTGTATAATTATTAATAATACTGTTACAAAATGTACTTGTTAATTTTACGTTATAGAAACTGAATAAAAAAATAATATAATACATTCAAAATACTAGTTTTAAAAACACACATGTTAGTGTTACGTTTGAAACTGAAAAATAAATAAAATAATACATACATACATACATAGATCTGAGTTCTGAATAAAAAATAAAATAATACATAAACATACATTCAAAATAATAGTTTTTAAACATTTTTTTCTACATTTTTATTATTTTTTTAAATTTTTTCCTTGGTAGGAATTTCCAGTTTTTCTTAAATATAAAATTAAATCCTTGTTGTTTTTATAATCATTATAATTTTGTAGAGTTAATTCAATTTTAGGTTTATTTTTTTTTGGACATAGGATTATGTACATTGTTTTTAATTGAATTAATTATTGTCAAAGTTTGAGCTTGTGTTTCTTTTAAAACAGATATAACTACATGTGTTGGAGAATGGGGGCTATAAAACTGACCATTGTACGTCCTATGAAAACTCTCTGGACCATTAGTAGTTCTAAAAAATAATTATAAAAACTTAGAGATTTTGAATTTACTAATAAAATTAACATAGGAGAAAGAATTTAATTTAAAAAATTTTAAAACCATACCTTGGATTTACTGAGGGTTCTTGTGCCCAAAGATATGGTGGAAATAATGAATCAGGTGCAATATATGTTGATACTAAATAGTCTGTAAATACATGAGCTTCTTCTAGGTTAGGGCATTCGGCTATTAATGCTAAAAATGCATCTTCAATTTCGTCACTGGGTAAAAACGGTAAGCCGAAAAATAATTTTAGCCATGGACCTAATTCATTGTTTTTTTCTTTGTATGCATTTATCAAATTTGAATCTTCATTAATCTGTAGATATTTTATTTCATTAAAAATAATGCTTCAAAGTCGTAAAGAGTATTAATTTATAAATAAGATTAGATTTTGATATTACCTTTCTCCACCAAGCTTGACCTAAATGAAAACGGCATTTATCTATCTTATCGGCATCGCTACGGCGTGGTGTAATAGCAAAAAACCCTTATATTATTATTATTTAATTATTTTTAAAATTATTATTTAAAAATTTGTTATTGACACCAAATCTGACAACATTGCAAAATTAAAGTCGGGTAAAAACGTTCGCAATCGTGTCACCGGAAAAGGTCCGTTCGCAATCGTTCCATTCGCAATCGTATATTACCCTAATATAGTAATATATAATAATATAAAATATATAATATATATTAGTAATTATTATATACTAACATCTATAAAATAATACGTACCTACGAATGTCAAATATACCATAAGGAGATAACAATTCTTCAATAATCTATAATCGTATAATTTTTTATAAATATTCATATTTTATTACTAATTTAATTTAATATTTAATAATTTAATAAATGTGTGTATTATACAACTCAAACAAAGAAAGATAATTGTTAACTTTAAATTGATACAAAGGTCTAAAGTCCATATTAAATTATTAAGTTATCAGAATTTTAGAGTAATAAAATGTTCAATTTTGTGTTTTAACGAGTACACTCGAATTGCGTACCAAAACAGGTAGACGAACCTTTTTTAATGAACTGCGTCCCAGACACAATTCGTGTTACCTTTTCATCTACAGTTAATTATTGTAAGTGCCAAGTGGTTCCTAATGTGATATTGCCATAATAATGATATACTAAATAATATAAATTTAATTGTAAAAATATAATAATATAGTAATATAAATTTTAAGTCATACTACTAGCATACTTATTTATAAAAAAAAATTAAAATTTAATTTTAAAAATATAATACAGTAGACGCCGCTTATAAGACTCACGGATATAAGGTCAGTCGTTTATTAGACTTAAAATCGTCAGGAACGGTCCGAACGTATCCAAATACATTAAAAAAAAATCGGTTATAACACTTCGGTTATAAGACTCCAATTTCGTAAAATAAATAGTAGAAAATAAACTTTTTTGGTTATAATTTAGAAATAAATTAGTTTTGAAATAGGAAATAATATTCGTGTTGATTATTTTTAGTTTCTGTTGGTACCTTAAAACGTATAATAATTTTTATCGCAGATAAAAGTTCACATTTATCGCAACGATAATTATAACGATTATAATTTTAGTTGTTTTTATCGGGATTATTAAATTTATTCAATAATAAAGTATGTAATATATAATATGTGTTAATGTATTAAAATCAAAGCAAAATATGTAGTAAAATAAAATTTATAAATACGTAATTAATTTTTTTTTTCCACTTCGCCTATAAGATTCATTCGGTTATAAGACTCACTTTCTGCTGGTCCCAAAGTGAGTCTTATAAGCGGCGTCTACTGTAGTATCTTTTTCTGTATTTATATTTATTGGCTAATGTATTAACATAGACTTAAATTGTAATCTCATTACTGTTTAATTGTTTAATTTTATTTTCTATAAATAGTATTCATTGTCTTATTGATTTTCTAGTTACTCGTTGTTTTTCTAGACTACTTCTTATTAATATTATAGTATCAGTTTACATATTTTTTAAATCTTCTATAAGTTTATGTTTATATATATTTGAGTAAGAAGAATCAAAACATTTTTTTAAATTTGGAATGAAAAAATTCGCATGCATTCGTTGTTCTTTGTAATTTACAATTTTTTTCTGCCCACAACTTTGGAGGAAATATTGAATTTTCACTCATATATGTATCTATTAAATAACTAGCAAATTTTATAGTTTTGTGTTTGTCTGATTGAATATCAGACATTTCAAATAAAAAAAATCTTTAACTTCGTGTTGTTCTAGGAAAATAAATCCAAGCGTCGATGCTAAGTACTTGCCTATTTCATTATTTAGGATAGTCTTAAGTCAAGCCTAATTCTTGTATTTTTTTCTACTAATATTGACCGAGATAAAATTGACAACCTCTTATTAAGGTTTTTGGCCATATTCTATTAACGGAATTGTGTATTGCCTTTTCAAAATCCAAATAAATTATTTTAGGAGTAAATGTGAGATTAACCTATTTTTGTTATTTCGCGATTAATTGCTCTCAATACTTTAAAGTAACTTAGTGTTTGCTTATCTTTTAATAAAAATATACAATTGGAATATAAAAACCATTTTGTACTCCATGAATTGTGAATAACTGACAACAAAATTTAATACAATAATCTAAAGTTCTATCTACGTAAAATACACTTATTTTATTAAAAAAGCTTAGGTTAAATTGACATGAATACATAACTATTTCATTGTCCAAGTTATTAAATAGTACAAATTGTTCGTTGTCTATAGTTTTAATATTTATACAGTTTAAAATAGAATGAACATCATCGATACTTTTTGGTGATTGAAGGTAACTAGTTCTACGTACATAATGCTTATTATTTTTTTATATACGGAACATAAGTTAATGTTAGTGTGGGCACGTTTTCTTCTTTTAATTATCTATGGAATAATTTACTAGGTCGTTCTGATACGTCTGTAATTGCTTTACGTTTTAAACTATTATTAAACTTTTGGCGATTCAGAATACTTACTTCTATTTTATCATGATTGTGAATTAAATTACTGACACTAACAATTATTTTATCTTAAGCATCTATTCGTAAAAAAGTTCTGCAATTTTTATTTGTACACTTATATCTAATATCACTATTTTAATAATTTTTATGACAATCAAATTTAAAATCAATCACAACTTTTACTATTTCACCTTTTTCACTTAACATTGTTAACATAATAAGTTTATTTTCCGTTTTAATAAATAATTTTGATTAATAATATTGTCGATTAATTAAATTTAATATTGAATAGTGCATATGATCGCAGACCACTCCGAAATAATGTAGGTATTAAAATCTGGGATCACTAATTTTATTTGTTATATTTGAATTCACCTAATCACTACAGTGGTATTAACATGATACATTGTGCTGTATACTATATTATAATATAGTGTCTCGGTTGTAATCCATTAGTTACTTATCAATTGGGAAGTCCGTATAGTCTCTAATATTTTTATTTTTTATTAAAAATATCAATAAAGCCCAAGCTTCATACGACGTATTCCGCTGTGTTGTCCGTCGAACTAAAAATGTATTGATTTATTTTTAATAAAGCCGGAGCTTCATACGGCGTATTCCGTTGCGTTTTTCGTCGAACTAAAAATGTATTGATTTATTTTTAATAAACGCCGCGGAATACGAAGCGTTTGAAACGCGGCGAATACGCCGTGTATAGCTTCAGTCTAAATGTACTAATCAATAAAAATAAGTTTTCATATAACAATATTATGTTAATGATAAATATTTAATTATTATTATTGTTATTTATTTTTTTTTTTATTTAAAAATATTAAAATTAAAAATAAATTTGAAAACCACTGGAAAGCTCAAAAAAAACTATGTTAACTTCAAAGGTAACACGAATTTCGTCCGGGACACAATTCGTTCAAAAAAGTTCGTCTACCTGTTTTGGTACGCAATTCGTGTGCATAGGTTTTAACAGCGTGAATAATGTTTTTGTGTACATTGTAGTCTGTACAGACTACAGAGTCACGTCGGCAGTAAAGTTACTACGTCACGTCATCACATGTATTTTTTAAACGATGGTTGCTTACTAAATACTAAAGAATAGTAAGCTGTAAATATATTTTAATGGAATATTATTTGTTTACATCTCATTTTTTATTACTTTTTCTGATGTAATTATTTTTTGTTTTATGTGTTATGGTAACTAATTTAAACCAATTTTCAGTTATTAATAATACATTTAATTTAACTAAGTTAATTTTTTTATATTGTTTTTCGTTATCAACAGAATGGGTATAATTATCTACTTTTTAATATTATACTTTATTATTATTTTATAATAATATGTTATATTGCATCTGAGAGTTATATGATCAATATAACCAATTATAAGTTTTTTATTGAATATTAGGTCGGCGATTGTAAAGTTTAAGTATTACCATGAAGAATAAACACAAGTATAATATAAATTATAATAAAAAATAAAAATAATAGTAATCTAAATTTTTTTCTTTTTAGCCGTGAGTTGTAAATTCTAGTCTAGATAGAAAATATAATAATAATATTAATTTAGTATAAATTTATAGATTAGTATGAGGCTGCTGATCATTATAAATTATTGTACCACAACTTAAATAAATTAGAAACCCAATTTCAACATAAATAAAGGAACAACGAGAATATTTGTTTTTTATTTCAGAAATATACTATACGAATGGTTTACATTCAATGTCATAAAAATTTGAATTTCAAATGATCATTAAATATTAATGTAACATTCTGGTAGATTTTATTTTTTTTTTTTATAAGTAATTCTAATGAAGAAACTTTTGTTAACTGTTCAAATCTTAGATATACAAAAAGAAAATTATTCAAATATTTCTAACTTTAAAATAATTTGTAAATTGTGTATAGATCTTGATGAATTTAGTCAAAATTCTATCTTTAAACGCTTGTAAAAAAATGTTGTTACTAATAGTTACTATACATTTTCAATACTTTTTAGTTAATGAATGAATGAATTATGAGAAACATTGTATTAAATTTTTAATCATTTTTAGTCAGCAATAAATTTTTTACCAGCATGTTTTGGAAAAAATAACAATTTCATATTCTAAATGTCTATTATTAGTTCAAAAATGTTTAAAATATTTTAAAAATTATGCTATTGTATAATACGCTAACATAGACATTCTAAGAATTGATTAAATTTTTTTAATTATAAGTTTATTTGTTTTTAAGTTACACCAAAAAAAAAAAAAAAATTCAGTTTTATCCACGACTTATTTTTTGTAAAAATTCAAGTTTTTCCTTAATTTATTGTTTGGTTTTCCCGATTATTTTGAAAAATTTTGGAATTCTATATTTTAACTTCTACAAAATTTAAAGATTTAATTTTCTATCAAAAACCACAATCGGAGTAAAAATCAAAGCATTTTTTTGTATCATGATATACTCACAAATAAAACACATTTTAAAATCAATAAATTTATTGTTTGGCTTGGAAATAGTCATAATAACTGGTAAGATGTAACTATTATAATATATTATATAAACATAACTAATAAATAATAGGTACCTATTCGTTTTTCATCTATGTATTATTAACAATGCTTAATAATTTTTATGTTCTAATCAATACAACCTTTTAAGAACTTGTAAGTTTATAAACGTAAGATATTTTAAATTAAATTAATTACATAAAAATTTAACATTATAATTTTGGTAATAAAATCTAAATCGAAAATTTATCTTGGTTATAAATTATAATAATTGTTGTGTATAAGTTTATAGATAAATTATCTCCGAATTAATTTCTAATGTGAAATGTCTGTTTTAAAAAATATGAATAAAGGAATTCTAAATTTTGTATCAATTTAAGAAAAATGTTCAAAAAATGCGTATCAAAAGCTTTTAAACATGATCTAATAAGCCATCTCTCTTCTTGTTAGTTCTGTTACATGTAATAAATGAACATTCATTTTCTGCTATGAGAAGAATTAAAAATTATCGAAGAACTAATATGATATAGAAATGGTTTTCTAAGTTAGCAATTCTTAATAAACAGAGAGAAATTAGTATATATATATATATAAGCTTTTAAACAGAACTCTTTTAATCAGATATAATAATAAATGGAGTACAAGACAGAAGCTAAATATGACTTCAGGTACTCAGGCGTACTTTTCAAATGCTTGTAACTGTCTAAATATTGGACTGTAGTTTTTAATGGCACCAATAGCTTTTTACGATTTAGTTACATTTTATGAATAAATAAAAAAATTAATATTTTTAACAGCATAGTTCTTTAGTATTAACGATATTTACAAAACTTTAATAGTATCTATAATATTACTTTCGTTAGTTTGCATTTGCACTATAGCTCGCACACTCTTTACGTATCTAGGTAGCTACTTACTATTCGTAAACAAAATTACCTTCTTAAAAACATTAAAAAAAAATTGATCCACACTTATAATCATATAGGTATTTATTTAAAATAATTAGATCAGGCAATGAAAAAAATGCATATTCATTCAAGATTATAAAAAAAAATACCTATAACTGAATGAATCTCTATATTCAATTATATGAAAACTATGGGATTAAAAAAAAAAATAATAATAATAAATAATATAAATATATTATTATAAACATTATAAAATATTGGTACACTCACCCAACATTTTAAAAATGCTTATAACCCAAAATAATTGTATAAATAATAATAACCAAATATTTTTATGATATACGCCAGTTCGTTTCATTATAGTACACCCTGAATAACTCTAAATGAACTGAAACGCTCATAAGCTACATCAAATATGATCCTTTTTTGAAAAGGGGTGTATCTAAATGATACCTAATTTCGAACGCATTTTTAATATTAAATATAGGGACCATTATAGAACACACTCAAGAAACTCCCTATTCCTTTAACAATTAATTTTTTCAATTTCTCATTATAGGAATTTTTAGTTATATCAAGAAAATATGATGAAGTTTCCAATGCATTTTTTCTACCTAATTAAAGAGTGTCCTGTCATGATACAAACTTACCTGTATTTGTTACCAAACAAAAATATTGAGTTTAAATTGAGGTATAGCTTTTACTTTATTTTATTCAGTGGTTTTATACTCATGTAAAACTGTAATAAAATACGCTACAATATATACATAGTATTATACAGTCATTTTAACGCACCACTTGTTACCGCGGCTGTACCAGTTATTGATTGTAGCACATTGTGTGGAATGAAAAACAAGAGTTCGTGACCTCCTCCTTCTAATCGATATAGGGTGGTAGATGAGGGCGGAGCTGCTCTCACTTTTGCCCGGGCGAAATGGAAAGTGCGCAGATATACGTATAGTTATAATACGGCATTCGAGGTCTAAACTAGGTCAAAGACCCTTTTTACACTAACGCGTAGTGTTCACTCTTTGGGAAAAATAATCTAAAAATAATTCTCCAGGGTTCAGAATATTAAAAAAAAAAATCAGAATCTGAGTGGGCCACGATGGTAGTTATCTTATAAGTTCGATTCTACAAATTAATAAGAAAAAAAATCGAAGTTTGGAATTTCACTAACATATTATGTATAATTTAATAATCATCAAACAACAATATGTTTTAGTACCTGTATGTGGTACCATGGTCTAACACTAACATTAATTATTAATGCATTATTAAGTCTAACTCTGTAACATAACTAGATGACTTTTATACAATTTAATATTTATAATTAGTGAATACTAAATTATATTACTGCAGTTTGCACAGTCTTCTGGATATTAGAACAATAGTTATTAATATTATATAAAAAATAATAATAAGTTAAAAACGATGAACTATGTATTTATTTTTTTTTTATTTATAATTTTATTACTCTATTATTATTTATTATTTATAGTTACTATAAAGTATATATTTCAAAAGGACGCTTCACAGGCATATTTTGTTTTCTTTGTCTTACAGGTGCGTAGCATAACAAATTTACGTTGAGCAGATTAGGTTTACCTTCGTTAGTTTAAAAATTAGAGTGAATCAAGATCAACCTTTAACGAAACTTAATGGTAAGAAGATTATCTGTGTTTGATTGTGATTTTTTTACGATAGTTCAAATTTTTAGCAAGTTTTGCATATATAAAATATAATAAATTAAAAATGTTCCTAACTTACTTAAAAAATTGAATTATCGTAAAAAGTAAAAACTCACAAACAAGCACAGAAAACGCTCTTACGATAAAGTTTTATTATAAGTCGATTCACTCTAATTTTTAAGGTAATGAAGCTAAACCTGATCTTTTAAGCGTACATTTGTCATGTTATGCAATTGTAAGATGGAGACAACAAATTCCAGTGTTACGTCTTCTTAACTAAATTAACTAACGCCTCCCCCTCCAAATGTCTTAAAGAATTTTAAAAATGTGTAAAATTACAATTTATTAGATTAATTATTTACTGTTTTATATCTTAATATCATAAGAAAATATTATTTTAGTGTCTAATAATGAATTGTTATTGATTGACAAGTGAGAATTCAGAACGATCACTAACGATGCCGCGTTTAACATCTTGACAACGATTAATAACAATAATATTATATTTGTGTAAATTAAAAATATTATTATTTATTATAGTTATATACCGTCGTCCGTGGTCCGTCAGCCAGTGACAAACACGTCGAATGCTTTTATTAAATTCGTCATAATGAGTAAAAAAGATAACAAAATTGTACACTTAAATTATTTTTCAAAACTTCCATAGGTACGTTTAATTATTTCACACTTCATGTGTAATACTATATTAATAATTTAACATTGTTTTAATTCATTTACTTTATTTTTAACCAAATGCCAAAACCTAAATTCAGTAAATATATTATAACACTGTGGGTTCCCAATTTAGGTAACACTGAATTTCGTAATAATATGTAAAATTTTATAAAACGTAATCAATAATAAATAATAAATAAATAATAAATAAATGGTTTTATGCACTTTAATGACTCGTAAAAATGCATCATTTAAAATTGAAATGGCTTTTATTTAGTCAATTTTTGATTTAGAACCATAGTTGATATATCAAAATTATCTTTAAAAATAAGTCTATCCATTTATGGTGTTTAAAATAGGTGTTGCTATTTAAAAAAAAACATGTGCATACTGAAATGATAAAATTTTTGACATGTATCTGTAAATGAGAATTTATACACCATTAGCTTGTAAAAAAAATTTAATTTATTCCAATATAACCCGGCCGATAAATTCAGTGTTCCCTAAATTGATGAAATCATGGTATACATTCTACTAGTTAGGAGCTCCTCCAAAAAAATGTCTGAATACGACGTTGATAAATATCTATATTACGCACAGATTTCAACATTAAAGGTGTGATTCCTATGCACACGTCTAGAGACGCGCAATCGACGCGGCGCGATTTTATTTTAGCCACAGATACTACTTTACTTGTTTTTAGATATAACCGATTTCTATGACCACGATCACTGCGCGTGGCGACGACTGCTTCGAAAGCAGTCAAATCGCACGAGCTGCGTGGCTAATAAGTAATAACTAATATATAATTCATATTTTAATTAATCTTCAAAATTCAAAATTGCTATTGACGATAAATTGTTGTGCTATAAAATTTATTAATCGTTCCGTCGGCAGTTTGCACAAAATCTTTTGCTAATCGCATCAACTTTCGTTTATTTTATGAACAAATTGTAAAAAATGCTCTAAAAACTAAGAAAATGCCCTTAAAATGCATTTAAGGTAAATTTTGTTAAAAAAATGCAAAATAAAAATTACTTTAAATTAATCAACATCACCCAAAACACATTTTATACTTGCGGAGCTCCGTTTCGAAATATTAGAAAAAAAGATGCATTTACATCAAAATTCCAGCCCTACCTATGACTAATTTTTATATAGAATTAATTACAAAAATCGTTATGCAGCTTGGGAGTATAAAAATGGAGACCATTATTACAAATCAACAAGTCAATTGTTGCAGAACACTAAAACAATGAAATTTTGATGAAAATAAAAAACAAATTAATAATTAATAAATATTTTAAAAATTTTTAATAGTTTTTTGTTACTTGTAGTTTACTAGTTTTAATTTTCTGAGATTGCTGTTTTTCTTAACAGTATAAATGTATAACTATTATAACTAGGAATGTTGTACTTGAATATTGTCGAGTTTACACGGGTATTTTTGACATAACCCATAACATAATAATATGCATATTTTTAGATGTCAACAAGAAAGTTACAAAACTGTTCTGTGACTAATTTGTTTTCAGAGATGCAACATTTTAATTTTTAATTATTACGTTTTAGTTCTATGTATGACATTTAGTATTAACTATAAATTGTTATTAATAATAATTAAAAAAAGGTTAACTCGAAGAAGTGTCCTTAGATAAATATCCCGAAAAATACGTTACACGCTGATAAAACCTACCCCTTTTTAAAATTGTATTTTTTTAATTAATTTTATTTTAGTTAAGCTTAAAGAAAAAAAAAGTTTAAATAATATTATTTTCATCAACCATTATTACGACTATAGCAGTATTTTGTTATATTTTTAAATAATTGATTGCTAATGATTATATTCTAGTATAATTACTATTAGTAGGAGTACAATTATTTTCAGAATGCATATATTTATATATATATATATAGCAAAATAGGTTCCTATAGAACATTTAAAACTTAATTTGCTTATATAATGGTTTGATTTCATATACTTTGTTTCTTCATTATTATATTTAATAAGTTATGGGTATTTTTTTATTTATTATTAATTTTTAAATTAATTAATCTATAGTTTTTGAAAACATTGTATAGATAGTAGGTATCTAGTTTTAAATTCATATATTTAATAAAATTTGAAATTCAATAGTTTTATGTTAAAAAACTTGAAGCTTTTTCAAATAATGTTATTTAACACAAGCCAACGAAATCAACATAACTAACATAATATTATATTATAGGTACCATTTTATTATTATGCTGTAAAAAATCTGGTGTATGCTGGTTTAAATTTGATATTATATATTTTATTTTCTATCATTTTACGCTGTTTATTAAATTTACACATCGCTTCAAAAACCACCCACTTCTAACCCGTTATCGACGTATTCAATCCCAAACGCAATACAGTTACAATTTCACTCTCGTCGCCACCTCCACCGTCTATGCTGATTCCCAGGGTCCAAGGAAGGTGTTGCCGGTGATGTCTAGTGGGTGACAACCCATAAGTAGGCGGTGCGCACGCAGTATTATGCTCAGGGTCGCAGATCGGTGCCTGGATACAAAATCTATACAGCCATCGCTCGTCATTCGTTGAACGACTGTACGACGGCTTGTCGCGTGCTGTTTCACGTACACCACGGTACACTTACGACGACTTTGTCACTCACTCACTCATCTTTTCATCATCAATTGTGCCACCGAAGCGTACAATATGCTCCGTTTTCTCAAGAAACATCTGATGGCCTTGTTTAAAATCCTGAAGAGATGGTACGTGCATTACTATATAGATATTTTATTCTAATACTATAAAATTATAGTATTATTAGATATAAGTTGTTTTTAATATAATATATATATGATTGTATAGTTAATTTTGTTATTAATTATTATATTTTTTATTAATTTTAACGATGAAGGTATATATACTAAATATATACCTTATATATAGTATATAAGGTATATACTTTATAGTTATTAAAAGAGGTTAAAATTTGTTAATAGTTAAGCTTATGTCTGTAGGGATTGTTTGTTATTGTACATTCTTATATACCGTTAGAATATATTTAAGCACAAAAGAAAATAATAATAATATATTTTACAATTAATATTATAGCACTAACTGGCGTTTATGTTGCAGTTAATAATTATTTATGTTTCATAGTTGAGTAGGTATGTGAAGTAAACCTTTAGTTTAACGCACTGTAATATTGTTGCTTCGTATTTGCATTCCATACTACCAAGTTTATTAATTATTTATGCATGTATAACTCGTATAACGAATATAACCCTCTCTTTCTTCTCATCGACGCTTATATCATAAGTTATGAACCGTTGTTATCACATATCTTCTGAATACGATAAATACACTAAGTGGGAGAATTGTCGCGCGCTTGACAATTGAGTTAACATAAAAATCTGACTCATCGAGTTCGGATTCGGAAAAAATATAAATCAAAGGACGGCGTTAGGTATATATAATATATAATACACCATATAATAATTAATAGAACAGTTGGTATTAATAATTAGTGCACAAAATAAATATAAAATTAAAAATTAGCACGATCTGTGTCAAGAAGCACGCGTGGTCAGACGCAGGGCCGGCGAGAACTTTTGTGGGCCCTGGGGCTGATCAATTTCGGGCCCCTTTACTTATAGTAATTTCATATTTAACTAAGATAAACATAACACTTTAATACAGTAGTCTAATTGATTAGACGATTACACAGATCGAACTCGCATTGAGTGCGCGTGTGTTTTTTATCTTTGTACGTACTGTTTCGCGTATGTGTATAATACAGTAGCTACATGTAGCTGTTTAATTTTGAGCGATCGGACGCGAATGTTTAGGCCTTAACTTGTAATTTTAATTTATATAACATACAATTTGTATAAAAATAATTTTTTTGTGTGCGGTTTTTGGATGCAACCCTAAATACGCCTCAGAGAATGCCCCCCCCCCCCGGAGGCTCGAGCCCCACCATCTCACCGACCCTGGTTAGACGGAGAACAATGTACGGCGCGTTCCCGTGGTGTATGGAGGTCGGTTTAATACGGAACGGTGAGCAAACGTTCGGTCGTACGAAAGTCGAAGTTAGGAGGCGGGCGCATAAAACTTGAGTGAGCGAGACGGTCGTATCCCTAGACGTCCTTAGCACAACGAGAGAATCGTACGCGAAATGAGATGTTCAAAAGTGGAACATTTAACATAATATAATAATAACTACAATAAAACATTAAGATATAAAATAATAAATATGGTGGTGATAACACTGTATCGTTACAACTAAATAGATATACAGTAGGTAATAATTTCAGTGGTCGTGATTTAAATCGGGCAACACGATTGCGCCCAACCAATCGGAATCGGTGTTAGTGAGTTGCGACCCAGTCCCAAAATAACGTACGTGTTGCGGCCCGGGTTTATAAAAGGTACGAACGAATTGCGGCCATACAATAATGTATATATATTACATATAAATGTGGCAGTGGGATGTAAGATTATTTGAAGCAATTGCTTCATGTCTGAAATATATGGGTTTGTAGCCAAGTCCGGGTGGGTGTATAATTGTAAGATCACAACATAAATATCATGACAAATATTATAATTAATATAATTTAATACAATAATATACTAATAGGCTACCAAGTAACTGTGCCGACATGCGCGTGTTTTCGTAGTTATTTTAGTTCTGTTTTATCAAATTTAACAAAAGATAGCAAATTTTTAAGTTTAATTTAAGTATAAATGTATACCACTAATATATTAATTTTAATTTAAAATGTTATTAATGATATAATATAATGATAATTGATAATAATACAATCTTAAATAAATATAATATTAAAATTTACATTTTTTTAGAATAGTAATTTGCGTTAAATTGTTAATTATTTTAAGCTTTAGTAAAACATTATCAATTATAAACATTAAAGATTGTTTTTATTTATTTATAATTTAAATTTTAAAATTTGTGAAAAAAATTGATTCTCATTGAAGTCAGTGACGTGTTGAAAGTTCTCAAAGTGGTCTGTAGACTGTAGTAACAAAAAGGTTGGGAATCACTGATCTACTCGTATATTATATAAAAATATAACTTTCCATATACATAGTGAATCTTTCATTTATAGTTATTTATATATAACTTAGGTAATGATAATAACTCGAGCCGCAACTAACCTATACCTAAAATATTACCGAGCCGCAATTCACCGGAAACAACAAATCGGGCCGCAACTCACCCTCAGCCATCAGTATGATCTAGCCCGTTTTACATTTTTACCTGTACAAAACGCAATACGATTGTGCTCCAACATAATATATACATGTCCCCTATATATATATATAACATATACATTTATATACACCAATGTTTCCGAATCACGCGCGAATATCATTATTTAAGGTCTAGAAGTTGTTAAATATTGTCAAAATAAACCATGAGTTCCAAAACTTTCCAGCACATGATAAGGTGACTAAAAAAAATTATAAATACAAATAATTGCATGTAGCAATACATTAAAATAAAATAAAAAATTTTTTTTAAAAAAAACTAATAAATATACAAATTACTTAAATATATATATATATATATATATATATAAATACTATAAAAAGTTATAAAAGTTAGTTAATAAAACTTACTAATTTTTAGTATATATTTTTGTTATTAGTTTATATTTTACGCATTCTTATTTAAATAAAAAATTGTTTAATATCATCAATTAAAAACAAAATGGCATCTCCTACTAAATTTTCGGGTAAAAAACCAAAAGCGAAAAAACATTTTATCCAAAGGCCTACTTCTGATATTGAATTATAATTTTTTAATAAATTGATATTGCTTTAGATTTTTCTAAACCAAATTTGATTTTAATGGAATCTACGTCTAAATATTAATAAATTTGTGCCTGTCAATTTTAAATATAATCTTATAATTGTGCTCCACATATCTATATAAAATTCAGTTGATTTTGACGTCAAAAACAGTATAGGTCCTACTAAAAGAATATAAAATCCATTTTGTAATATATGTATTGTATAAAGTTGATCGTAGTATTTTGGCGAATGTAAAAATGTACCATCAGCAAAAATATGATTTAAACGACTTAATATATCAAGATTAGTTGGGAAAGTTAATACAACTATATTTCAAATTTCTTCCATGTAGCAAAAATGTTCTACATTAGTTTTAACTTTAAAAAGTACCACACAAGTTAAACAATTGTAATTTAGATTCTTCCATTTATTTTGGAATTGTTGACAATTTTTTTTACGGAAATTATACATACTTTTTCTCCACAATCCAATGTCAGAATAAACGGTTTTTAAATCATTTTTAGTATTACGTAGTTCTTGTAGAAAATTTACATTTGTCTACTAACGATATTTTCCGAAACGATATCATGATTATGTTTATTAAACATAATTAATGCAATCCATTTTTTAACACTATTGTTACTTTCACAGTAGCACACTTATCGAAACACTGTGAGTACTAAACTAATATTTTGTTTATTTCAACACAAGTTACAACAGTTAGTAGCAGACCTGGACTGGGTCACTGTGCTATTGTTTTATAGCACATAGGGCCGCACGCCTCAATTTAATAATTAAATACTTGAATTTTTTTTAAACAATTAAAGAGAAAAAAAAGGTATTTTTTGTATTGTATCTATCTATGGGCCTATAAGCCGCTTGCTTTCTGAGAATAGTAGATCGCTATCCTTCCAATCATGTAAAATCCGATCACGACACTATATCTATATTTTACAGATAAGATAAATTAACAATAAAATATTATCTTGATTACTCGAGTGTACGTACTAAAATACCTGGATATACATATTGGGAAACCAAGTCCGATTTTTAAATAGCGTATTAGAAAATTGTTAGAATATATGTATATGTTATATATAATATATATATAGGAACACGTATATATGTTGGAGCTCAATCGTGTTACGTTTTGTGCAGGTAAAAAAGTATAACAAACTCGGTCGTGATAATTAGTTGGGCGCAATTGTGTTGCGTTTTTTGAATAGAAAAAGGTAAGCCGGGCGCAATCGTGTTACAGACGATTTAAATCATGTTCAGACTATTTTATCTTTTGTTATGTTATTGTCACAATTTGTTTTTAATCAATTCGTATTAAAAATCAATCATCCTACAAATTGTAAAAAATGCTCTAAAAACAAAGAAAATGCCCTAAAAATGCATTTAAGGTTAATTTTGTTAAAAAATGCAAATTATAAAATTACTTTAAATTAACCCAAAACACATTTTATACTTACGGAGCTCCGTTTCGAAACACTAGAAAAAAAGATGCATTAGCACCAAAATCCCAGCCTTACCTATGACTAATGTTTATAATAGAATTAATTACAAAACTCGTTATGCAACTTGAGAGTATAGAAATGGAGACCATTATTACAAATCAATAAGTCAATTGTTCCAGAACATTAGAACAATGCAATTTTAATGAAATAAAATATAAAAATTTTGTATGAAAATAATTGACAAATTAAAATTAATAAATATTTTAAAAACTATTAATAGTTATTTATTACTTAGTAGTTTACTAGTTATAATTTTCCGAGTTCGGTACTTCATTAAGCTAATTGGCAATCATGAAGATTGTATTTCCTGAGACTACTGTTTTTCTTAGCTGTATAAGTGTAGTGTATAAAGGTATAATTCCTATGCAAGCGTCTAGAGACGGGCGACCGACACGGCGCGATTTTATTTTAGCCGCGTAGATACTACTTTACTTGTTTTTAGATATAACTGATTCGTATGACAGCGGTTACCGCGCGCGGCGATGACTGCTTCGAAAGCAATCAAATCGCACGAACCGCGCGGCTAATAACTAATATATAATTCATATTTTAATTAATTTTCAAAGTTCGACATTATTTGAACACTGTGTGATATAAAATGTCTTCAAAAGTATTATTCACAGTAAAAATAATAATAATAACAATAATAATATTTTAAAAAACACACTTATGAGTATACAAGTACAACTTCCAAACGGAGAACTTAATACAACTGCCTGTACGTGTCTAATTATTTTAGCCGCGCGTCTTCTAACGCATACCTACATAGGAATCAATATTAAACTGCGCGGCTAAATAAATGACCGCACGGCCAAAATTCAAATCGCGCCACGTCGGCCGCGGGTCTTTAGATGCGTGCATAGGTTAGGTTAACCTAACCTTAACAGTTAACACTATAACAAACCAAAATATTAACTATTCATTTCTGTTTTACTTTTTTGTAGGGTTACTAGACAGTCTGCTAGTGATAGCGATTTCTCCTTCTCCTTCAAATTTCCAGATGATGAATTGTTCTCCGAATTCTCCGATTCTTCAGATCATTTGTCAGTGGATTCGCTCATGGAATTACAAGATGTTGTTCTTGGCGAAATATTACCAAAACAGGAGGTCAAGAAATTGAAGAAAGAATACGTCGAAATGCTGAACCATATCATCAACATAAAAGTAAACGTCATTTTATTTTTAATTTTTTTTTTTTTTTCAATGTCATTATTATCTGTTTCTAAGGTGAGTAACTTAATAAATCGCATGAACAAGAGTACAGAATATATCCCTTTGAATACGATTATAAGAAGTGCAAAATTAATATTTCCGCGCATACAGATCGATGGTAAATAATCCATATCTAAGTCATTACAATAACTGTAAAATTGTATGCAATAATAATAATTTTTTTCTAGGGAACAGTTTGGTAATGTGGCTCACAAACACAATGGATTTTAATCCGGGTAAGTTCTTGTTAGTTGCTGAAACATTTTTAGATGGTCTATATTCTATAGAAGAAAACTTAAAATAATGATTTAATTTAGATGAAGCACTGTACATGGCAAATTTATTATCGTCGCACATCATCTTATTCACAATTGTTAATCACTATCTGACTTTGTTGAACATTGGTTGCTTTTATCGTAAACGAGTAAGTATTTACCAAAGACATGTTATCTCCATGAGTGCTAATTGGGGGGGAGGGGGGAAGCAAGACGGGGCAATTGCCTCCCTTGAATCTTATAATAAGTATTACCATTATAGATATTATCTGATTAGTAATTACTAATTACTAATTACCTAAATAGCATACAAATTATTATTTTTTTTATTATCACTATAGGAATTTGAAATAAAAATAATATATAATGTATATTATATATAGTCATATTAACAACTTGGTAGATAAACACAAGATTAATTGCAGATTAAATGTTTATTTAGTTTATATATTGAGACTTTTGATATATATGGGCGACTATGGTTATCTATAAAACCATATAATAAATTAAATCCATACAAAAATTGAAATCCTGTAGAATTATACTTTAATCTTAATATAGGTATATGATGCTGTAGGCTATGAATTCCAACTCATTTATTTTTACTATTAATACATAATACATAGTGTGTTTTACTGAAACGTTCAAATCAAATTTATGCAAAAAAATCGAATATTATTGCCCACGTTCAGGTCAATATAAATGCATACTATATACAAAATACATTATAGCAATGTTTCATAAGCCATTTCTGTATTCACAAATGTTTTTAAACATAGGTACTTTAAATATATTACAAGTATTACTTGAATTTATTGAAATATTCATTAATTCACACCAATTTTATGCAAAAAATTAAATATTGTTGCACTCACATAATCTATATGATTTCATATAATAAACAAAACGCATAATAGCAACATTTTATAAAGCATTGATGTACTCATACGATGATACATAAGTATAACAATTAAAATCCTGTAGAATTATACTTTAATACTTAATAATATATATATAATGTAGGCCATGAATCATACTCTTAACTCTTTTGTATTTACTATTAATATTTAGCAAACAAATTACATAATACATTGTGTGTATCATAAATATTCACATCAAATTTATGCAACAAATCAAATAGTGTTGTCCTCACTTGGATCAATATAAATTTATACTGTACACAAAATACATAACAGCGACGTTTCATAATCCATTTCTGTATCCACAAATGTTTTTAAACATAGGTACTTTAGATATATTATTAGTATTACTTGCATTTATAGTAATATTCATTAATTCACACCAATTTCATGCAAAAAATTAAACAGAGTCGAACTCACATGATCGATACAATTTCATATGATAAACAAAACGCATAATAGCAACGTTTCATAAAGCATAAACGTATTCATACGATAATACATAAGTGTAATAACTAAAATCCTGTATAATATTATACTTCTATATCTAATATATATGATACCGAAGGCTATAAATTATACCCAATTTTCGATAATGTTTATTAAATATTTCATATTTAACAAACTTCCAGTATCCAATTAATACCACTGACCTCAGACACGATCAAAAGTATTAAAACGATTCAAAAGCAAGACTTTTGCGATCTGTTTTTGTAATACACATAAGAATCTGTTAGACCCTACGTATGTCAACCATCGACGCACGTTTTTTTTTATACGCATAATTGTATTTCATACGCTATCGTGACAGTACTGACGAGGTCGCGGAGGTGTTCGAGTTTTCAGACACTGAAAATAAAACAACACTATTCAATACGGATAAATAATTTATTGAATTGTAAAAAACAAAACATTAGTATAATATGTGACAATACGATAACCGACCGAAGAACACACCGCGGTTTTCCGAATGCGACGGCGACGGACAAGAAGTAAGAACGGAATTCGGAGACAAACAGCAAGAGCGCGGTTCGCAAAAGACGCGTTCTACGCGATGAGATAACGCGCGGAAGTGAAAAAGGCAAAACCTACTCGCGCCGAAAGAAAAACGTTTGCGTTAATGCTACAGCCGCGGACGAGATCGAATCCTCGCGAAAAACACACGCAGAAAAAACGAATAAGACGCGGTCTACGCGACAGGATCGAGAACGCAACGGAAAAAAGCTTCGAAAGGCCCGGAAAAATGGGCGAAATGCAGAAAAAACGGCAATGAGTCCAATGAGAGTAAAACAACGACGACCGATAATGATAACAGGCTGTCGGTGGCGGCGACGAGCGATAACGGCGATACGACTCTGATAAGAAAAAAATTTAATTTTTGTGATTGGACGAAACGCTAAACAGGGTCACTCTGGCGGAAAAAAAAATAAACTCGTTTTCATTTAATATTATAAGAATTAAGAAGATTTCTTAGATTTGTATAACAGTTTTCCTAATTGCCCAGTAACAAGTTTTGGAATTTGTATTTTGTACTTTTGTAGTGTTTGTAATTACTAATTTGTAATGTTAGATAATATAACTTAGAATAAAGTAGGTAACTGATGTTTGGCATCCCGTCAGACTGGCGATAATATTGTATAAGCAATAAAATTTCGTTGATCACCGATCGCTGACAATCAGTACATAATTTCTATCCTTCTTGGGCGTATTATATAATTTTGACCAATTGTCCATGATAATAAAGCTAATGCGAACGATGAGATATGTTGCTACTTTACCATTTGAGATGTGCCAGTCACACTTTAAGCTTAATAGCTACTTCTAATTTCAATTAAGCTATTAAAAGTTTACCAGTTCATCTATGTATTACATTTAGGAGCCATTTAAAAGTGCAACTATTTGTGGAACATGTCAAGACGTCCAAAAACAGTTGAAATTATGAAAAGTATACTAGGTTGTTCTTTAATTTATCCTTGTCCGACAAGGTAGGATTCATTATTTGATTCGATTAGTCAACTTCTTGTTTATAAATAAGTACTGTTTTCCATCATTTAAATACTAATTATGTTTTAATAGATTTTGATTTAGAGTATTAGATATAGATGAATTTGTAATATTTGTTAAATCATATTACATTTTTTTATTGCTTGATTATTTGCAAGGCCAAGTTAATTGTTACTACAGTAAATTAATACCAACATTATTTTCATTCAAGAACCAGCTTTAATCGTTAAAAGAAAAAAAATGAAGACATTAAATTTGTCCTCTTGTGATTTTACTATTAATATTATCATTGACTAATAAATTTAATACCTGAAGTTAATCATGCTATTTTAGCTACATGTTTTCACTTGTATTTTAAGTACATTGGCTTAATAATAAGTGATCAAGAAAACATAGAATTTAAAATGTATGTATTAATGAAATAGACTAGTGTAAAACAAAATTGTTTGGAAATTGAATCCTATTCGATTGAAAAGCCAGAGGAGTCTTTTATTATTTTTTCTTCTAAGTCAGACAAATCAAGACAACAATCAAGTAATGAACTTAAACACATAAGTTTTTTAAATTATGAAAATAAACCACTTGATTGCTTAAATTAAAAAAATAATTATAAAATATAATATAAGTTAGACCTCTTCAGCTGCTGTTGAACGTAAATTTTTATTTTGCTGGGCTTATTCGTTTTCCATATAGGTCTAGCAAAGCCGGATAGGCCCACCGGGATACCAGGAAAATCCCGGTAGGCCCTCCTTTCTATAAGCTTTTTTTTTCTTACACTATTATAATTACAGAATTCGATATAGTCGCTACTCGATAGCCAATACTTAAAAATATACACAGGCACACAGGACAGAACTAATATGTAACTTTTCATACAATTTATACCTAATAAAATAATAATATTATTATAGTGTTATCATAGGTATTATGAAAATGTATATTTAAAAATATTATAGCATCTAAACTTTTGACTATCATATGAAAAATTAATTAATGAATAATGATTACATTTATAAATATAAAAAATATGTATTATAATATGTGTATGGTCTAAATGTATTTCTTTTATTTTTATTGGGCCCTTACGGTAATGCATTTCCCGGTAATATTAATTTAGCCTATCCGCCTCTGGTCTAGTTAGTATGTCAGATGATACTTTCAAAAAATTAGTCTCTTTAAAAAATAAAAGGTAACTAGAATTTATTTTAAAACATACAACATAAATTACATTCACTATAATACTACTTACAATTCATTTAAATTTAAATATTTAATTGTGAATGAATAAACATTGCTAATTTATAAATTTATTAAGTTTTTTTATACCTTGTATGTATTTCAGATACATATATCTTGTATCTTGGCTAGTCCTGGGTTAAATAAGAGTATATATTATACAAATAATATAATAGATGTAATGTTTTCAAGAGTAATTGATTTAGCCTACTGTAGTACTAAAAGTAAAATAAAAAAGACTTACAGCTATATCAAAAAAATATATTGTGAAATATACTTAATACAATATAGGTTGATATACTGTCTCTGCTCAGAATATACAACAGAGTACACCCACATGCTACTTTTTTTTTTATAATTTATTTAAGAAAAAACAAAATTTAAAAAACATCAAGAAAAAATCATTAATAAATATTAGAAATTCTATAAATTGTAATTACTTCAACATTTTACGTTAAAATAAAATAAGTCAGAACATTACTATAAATCATAACTACTGTAATTTTATTGACTTATATTTACTCTATAAAATGTATTATGCCGAATAAATAACAATGTATATAAGGAATTTAACAGTTACCTAATGTATTAAGTTTGTTATATGGTCATTAAAATGTCATTATTTGTGTTACAGTCTTCTAGCTCACAAACAACTTATAAAACTCACGTGAAGGATTATGATTACGGTAAGCACAAAATAAAAGTATGCCAGAAAACTGTGTTCAAAACTAGATATCTATTAAATTAAGTCATAATAATAAAATTAATATTTTATGTTCTTCTTCAATTCTAAATCTGTATAGTATCATGCATTTTTTTTTAGTTTTTAAAGTAAACATATTTATGTGTAAATATTTTTTTTAGCTATTTACTTGTGTCAAAGAGAAACTGATGAAAATTTACATGGAGATTTGCTTAACTATAAAGTGAAAAAGTTTGCAAAAAACAAAGTAGATTTGAATAAATGGGAATTTGAGTTTGAACTAGCTGATAAGTCAAAAAACAAACAATAATGATGTAATATTTTGAAATTTTGAAATTAGAATATTTTATGGTTATTTCAAACACGATTTTGAAATAAAATTTATTAAATTTAATTTATATTTTTTCAGCCAAATGTCAAAACATACAAAAGATAATCACAAAAAGTTCAACTACAATAAATCACTTTAAAATTAGACTTTTAAAATGCTTAATAAACAAATCTTAATTAAAACTACTATTTATGCTTTTAGAAAAATTACTTCTATCATGATAAATCTTAATTTCTGTAATTTAAAGGTATTTATGCTTACAGATTTGAAGTTTTAATTTTTTTATTTATATTATAAGAATTGCTTTCTTATATAATTTTAATACAATATTTATTTAATCATCATAAGATCTTATTTGATTTATATTATCTATTCAGTTTATGATTGAACCACTCATATAGCCATAACTCCTCATTGCTTGATGGCCATCACTTCGATTTATGATTCTTCATATAAGTACACAATTACAGCATTGACACCAATGATAACAATTGCTACTGATGATTGTCAACTAATGATAGTGTTAGCTTTGATTGGTTAAACGGTGATCCTTGTCACAGTTTAATTGCACCTAAGTGGTTCAATCTTAACCTGAATAGAATGTACATATCAAAAATTTTCAAAAATTGTATTATGGATTATTAAAAGTAGTGTATTTATATTGAATGTAGTGAAAATAAGTATCAATTTTTAAGACATTTTTTAGAATACCTATATAACATTAGTTTAATGTCTTATCTATTATATAATATTTTATTAGTTTAGATTAGTTGATAATAAATTTATATTTAGTATAGAACTTATTAAACTTATATTATATTAACTATCAACTATGAGAGCTCACAAATATTTCATTAGAAATTGCAAACCCAACTTCAATATAAAATTTATTTAAAGAAAAAATGTAAATTCCTCATTACTGGGATAGACAAACTCGTTGGTTTTAATAAGTATCTCATCGTTGATAATAACTGCTTTATTAATTATGTTTGCCACATAATGTTATGTTTTATGAGGTAGATAATGTTGGAAGTGTTGACAAATATTTAACAACTTCTAATCCTATGTGCCTTATATAACGTAACAACAAGGTATACTAATTCAAAATTACAACTAAGATATAATAACACAGCTTCATATATTAAAGTGTCTTAATTCATTTTTATTTTTATTTACTCATATACTGTATGTATTCAAATTATTTATTTTTTTGTTTTTTGTGAATTCTTTTATTATTTTCTTGCACTTAAATATACATTTATCACAGTAATTAATAAATTAAAAATTATCAATAGAATCTTGTGAAATGATTGTAATAATTTATAATTTGCAATTTTTTCTCTTTCATAAATAATTTAAGTATGGGTTTGAAATTGTTTGTAGTATTTCATTGTTTGGCATTTATATTTGTGCATTTTAAAATACATATAATAAATTTACAAGTTATTATAATATAAAAATAATCATTTATTTTATTGTTTAATTAAATCTAAGCCATTGTTGTTTTTAATTTTAAAATATGTAACCATAGTAAGTCAAAAAGCATTTAATGTTTTAATCATGACATTAATTTGTTATAATATTATTCATGTTAAATTATTCTGGGTCCTATATTTGAAACGCAGTAATCAATAACTTAAAATGGTCTAAACTGTCTAGAACAACTATTGCTGTTATTATCATTTTTTCTTCTTTTGAATTTTGTTTTACCTTATCTTTATTGGTAGTTTTTACACAGAGGATATTATCATATTAAATTTAATCATATTATTGACAATTATTTATTAATTATGTTTATGTTAAGTATCAAGTACAAAACTTGAATGAACATAATTTTTAGTTATTTTATTGTACATAACACACTTATCTACTATTTTGTACTGTAAATAACAATATAATATTGTATAATAATAATAATAATAATATAAATAATAATTCTGGGAATGGGGATAGAATTACCTGCAGAGGGATTTTAATCTTTCAAGAGATTTTGCGCAAAGGACTGTGGGCCTCCAGAACTCTTCACAAGTTTGTGAAAGATCCCTCAAGGATAATAATCACTAGAGTAAACTTTTCAAAAGTGTCACTGAGTTTCTTACTGATACCTATGGATTTAGTAGATACCTAGTCCATGGACCCATAATGGCAGCATAGATATATCTGAAACGATGTCGTCTTAAGGTCGTTCTACTCTGACTGATAAATTGATATCCCCTACCTATCCAACATAGTTGATTTTTTTTTAAATTAGTTTAAAAAAAGTTGATAATTTAAAATTTAAATCTCAAAAAAGTATCAACTAGATCAAATTGTCTATCAAAAACAATTCTCCAAGATGAAAACATTAACTTTTTTTCAACTATTTATGTGAAAACACAAAAAAAAAAATATAATATCATTGAAAAGTCTGTACATTTATCGACTGCTTTGAATCTAAAAGTAAGTATGAATCACTATTTTTAAATAAGTTGTGATACTTTAACTTACAAATTGTTTTTATTCAATTTACTTAATGATTTGAAAAAAATTATTAACATGGTTAGTGTTTATAAAATGTTTGCAGAACTACTAATTATTACTAAATATCAATAATCATTAAATAAGTTATTTTTTACTTTTATCTAGTGGTATTTACATAGCTATGCTAACATTTTTAAGTTATTTCAGCCATTTAAAGTAATTCATCTTTTTAGTTAATCACAGTTAGCCACAATCATTGTTTAATCTTGATCAAAAGTAAAATCAACTTAGATGTTAAATTTACACCTATTTGAAAGGATAATTTATATATATATAAATATATACATACTATTACTAGTATTAATATAATTATATTGTTAAATATATTTCAATACCTTTATAACTTATTAAACTTTAGAACATTACCTTTAATACATTTGTTCAGTTTTAAATAGATCAAACTAAAATTTCAAATAAAATAAAACATTTTTAGATAATTGGTCATTATAGAACATTATCCAAACAATTGTTTATTTTTATAAATTTAATTCTTATCTTACAAGATATTGTAATTTAAATAGGAATTTCTTTTTTATTATACAAATAAAACATTAGATTACAAGAAAAAAATCTCATATTAGAATGTGTAACTGTTTCATTAACTGATTAATTAAATGTATTATTTGTTCAATAAAGATCTTTTTCTTCGTCACTTGAATAAGAATGCTAAAAATTATTAAAAAATAAAAATAATTTAAATAACATATAAAACTATATAGGTGATAATTAGTAATGCAACTTCCAAAAATTAACAAAAATATAAGTGTTTTTTATGTGTGAGTATCATGTATATAAAACAAATTAAAAATTTATTGGATAACTTTTAATGGAATATGTTAGATTACTATGACCATATTTATCCAATTTATTAATTTGTAACATCGATATTAGCTAAATTGATAAAACAATAATTAACAATAATAGTAATTAAACAAAACTAATTCTATTTTATTGAGTAATACATAGATAATACATCAGATTGATATTAAATTTAGAAATGAAATAATGGAGCCGATATAAACAAACTTTAAAACGACTTTTAAGTAATTCTTACTAGAGTTAAAATTTAGAAGTGCATACTGCTACATAAATGTATGAGTATTGGTATGTATACACCAATAGTCTAACTAAATATTTACGATTTTATTTTTGACTCAGATTTCGATTTTCTATATGGTTTCTTTGAGATGTTTAATTAGTATAAAAGAATTATGAAATTTGATTATTGCCTACAATAAACTATATAAACAGTGCATTTTAAATTTTTTCTTTAAAAAACCAATATAATGCTAAGCAAATAGTGACACGACCCATATTTTTCCCAGTTCTTAAAATAACAATATATTATACATAAATAATATATAATAAACTGTTTAAAAATAGTACATAAATTGTAATATTAATACAAGTATCAATATTAATTTATTATGTATAATAACATAACTAATGTTACAAATGAATCAAAATAAATTGTATAAATACTAATGGAATTAATTTATATTACTTGTGTTTGTGAAAGAATTGATAATTTGACACCTAATATATCATCCTTGGAAGTATTTAATTTTAGATCTTGTTTGGTTAGTGGCAAATTTGCATTTTCAATAATCTTAAATAAACAATACAAGATAATAAAAATTATTATTGATATAAATGGTAATGAGTTAAAACTCTACAATAATTATGTATAAGCTAAGTAAAAACCATACTATTTTACTTTTGCATTACCATTCTTGAGCCATCATTTAATTGAACTGCTATGTGTCTGCCAGGTATAATCTGTAAACTAGTATATGTACTTATGTGCTTGCAAATATTTGACATCCACTGAATAACACGAGCTTTGGAACATTTGAATGCAATATCTCTCATCTCATGGTACTAAATAATAAATCATGAACTATTTTAAAAATCGGAGAAGTTATTTTGTTGTACATCATATTTTAGTACCCTTCTTCTTCAAATAATTCAATGTGATGGTTTAAAATTTAAATTCAATACTATTTAACATTGTGAACAACAACTATTTTTAATGTAGATAGTATGTAAGCCTTTATTTCTTAAGATATTTTATATTAGTAATTTATTTTTTTAGTCATAATACAGTAGATAGAACTTGAAATCATTTTTATTAGATCATTTTATATATTATATTTATTATTAGTATAATATTGTTATTATAAAATCTAAACCTTTTCTAGTATAAAACCTTTGAAAGCATAAATATTTGATTTATTAGTTTTTTTTGGAGTTAGGTTATTGAATAAATGAGATTTTACAATTTATTTTGAGGTGTTAAATTAGTGAATCATTTAGAAATGTTAATTACAATAAACCACTAATGGTGTATGGATTACTTAAGTTACAGTTTAAACACATTCATGTTTCTCAACATCCTAAAAAAAAACCTGTACGATGAATTTAAAAATGGCTACTAGGGATATAACAAATTGTATATTTGATTATAGTTTTCAAGTCAAAAAATGCTTTTTTTTTTTTATCTAAGTCAATCTTAAAATGTCAACAATTAAGTAATTTGATTATTGTCATAAGTGTGGCCATGGGAGAGGCAGCGGAGGTAGCTGCCTCCCCTGTAAGATATTCTGCTTCCTCAAGATCTTATATTGTATACTATGACCTACCAATTTTGAAAATATTTAAATAATATATTCAATATCAATAGATATGCTATTAATATAGCAAATATAGAATTATATAATATATAATTAGTATAATATTATATACTTCAAAAATTGATCAAATTATGTTTTTTATTAACTATTTTTTTGTTATTATGTATTCTTAATAATTATGTCTTATTGTTTCGTTATATTTTCTTGATCGTTAAAGATATTATTATTAAAAAGGACTTATTGAAAACTCTTTTGATAATTTCATGGTTAACCTGATTCTTAACCGTATAGAACCCATATACTTGATTTTATGTAACGATTTATTTAAATTATCGTAGCCTCACATCTTTGAAAAAAATCAGGGAAAGGGGTTTGGAGTCTGGACGTCCTTGGGTAAAAGTATTGCATCCTCTGCCAAAAAAACCTGTACACACTTATAGTTATTGTTTATACAGTAGAAGTAACATACATCTGAAGAAAAATTTCGATTAGGATTACTAAAATTTATACTTTTCAATGAATTAATTGGTAAAATGATATATTATGATGGTCCATATAAAAAATAATATTATTAAAATATTTTGATGGAGCTTAAATTAATAGGAAATTTTAAAAGCCAAAAGATATCCTACAGTAGTGACTATAACAAATTTCATATAGATAATATACAGTAACTTAAGACGTAAACATGGATTAATTACAAATACATGGTTGAAAGTTATAGATCAAATTGATTTAAGTTAGATAAATCAAAAACATACATACTAATTAATGCTAAGCTATAATAGTAAATGTAATTTATAATTCAACTCGTACTTAAATACAAATTGTATCATGACAATTTAAAACAGGAACTTAATATATTATTACCATACAGCCAAGACCATGTCCAAACATATCCGATTGTAATATGTCATTAGTTGACATTCCTTGTTTTATATTTTGAGGATCCAAATGCAGTTTCATTTTTTTTTTTATTTCCAACAATAACTGATTAATACTTCCTATTTTGAATATAGACTTAAAACGTTTAGCATCATCTGTAAAATGTAATAAATATTTTAAAATTATTGTTCAAGAGTAAATAGGCTATATTGAGTGATTCACTAATCGAACAACGCTCATTAGTTCAAAATCTATTTATAATCTGGAAATTGTGTTTTTACATAATTTCCAGATGAATAAAACCAACTTTTTTTTAAATAATATTTTTATCATTATAATTTTAAATTTTTTACTTTTTAGAATAACATAAATGTTTAATTTCACACTCTGAAGCATAACATTTTTCAAATCATTTTAGTACATAAAAATCGAAATTTGGACAAGTAGTTTATAAGTTATAAGTATTTCAGTTTAGGTGAATGGTTGACCAAAATTTTGAAGGGTATCTTCAGTCTTCACCAATCTGCAGACCTAAACTGTAAATATTTATAACTCTTTAACCACTCATTCCAAATTTTTATTTGTAAATACCAAAATGCTCTAAAAAAAAAATTTCCTTTATAAAACGAAGATAAAAATGATGTACTTAGTTCAAAAAAACTGCTTTAAAACACTAAAATTTGTTAATGATAAATAAATAAATAAAATTTTATATTATAGATTAATTTACCTTTCGGGAAAACTGTGGAACAAAATCTTTCTAAACTACTTTTAGCTTTCATAATATCCATACCAATTTCTGTCTCGACAGTGTATAAATATGGTAATTCCAACGTGCCTTCTTGAAAATCAGTAAGATTGATTTTTTCATTCTAAAATAATATAATTAATAGTTAACAAATGACTGTAAAATTGTTACATTTACCTTTAAAAATGATAAAAATTCCAATAATATATTTTGATAATCATCCGGATGTTCATGCCAACAATAAATTTGATGAAGTAGGTCGGAATATTCTCTCATACCTCCAGCTAAACCTCTGGGGTAAATTTTAGCTGTGCAAATAATATGTGTTACTTTTTTTCAAAGAAAATACATTTTCTTTCCAAAATAATTAACAATTAATTAGTTCATAGGTCTTAAAGTATAAGGAGTTTAAATAAATTTTAAAAAAAACTGATTATCTTTTACTAACAAAATAACAAAATTTCAAATTCCAAAAGGTAAGTAATCACTCTAGTAATTTTAAAGTATACCTAAAATTATCGCAAATAACTTTTAAGAGATAGGAGGATTTACTAAATTTTGTTTAAAAAATATTTACTGTAGATTTATTGATTCTGAACAAAGCAATAAGTATTCGATAAAATACTTAGATTTTCAACTTTGGAGTGGTTTTACTTCAATACTAATTCTAGATAACAGTTGTATGTTTTTGAGTTAATAAATCAAATATCATTAAAGAAAAATTTGTAGTAACAACAAAACTTTAAGGATTCTCCATAAAAATTTTAGTCATAGTACTTGTAATATTTATAACACAATAAAATAAAATAATATTGGAAAAACTCAGTGTGAATAAACATAATATGATTGAAAAACTTAATGAAATATTTAATTTTAACATTAATCTATACTAGGGAACCTACCATAACACTACTATATTTTTAATACTTACAAATACCAATAATTTTATGATATGTACGAAAAACGCCATTAATTAAATTGAATTCTAATGCTGCTATTTCAGCAGGAAAATAATATTTTTCTCCATGATGGGCATGACAATTTATATGCAATAAAATAAACTTCTTTTCAAGTAATTCTGAAAAAAAATCTAAAATCAGCAATGTCTGATAAATATTTGAAGTTAATTTCAGAAATTACAACAAGTACATAAAACCTCAACTCAATAAATATTAGTGGAAAAACATCAATTTCATACTTCTCATTAATAAAAAATTATGATTAAGAATACTCAGTATATTTAAGTATATTATAAGAACCCTTTTTTAAATATTATTTATAAGTATATAAAAATAATAAAATTTATAAAGTAAAATTTAATGATACTTGTATAATAAAATATTAACTAATAAAATTAACAAAATAATTAAAAACTGCACATTTCAAAGAATAACAGATATTTATTTACTCAAGAGTCTAACAACAAAAATAAGTTAAATTTTCTACCATAAAATTTGTATTAAAGCACAACTATTGGAATATTATAAATAATGCTTAAGCACAAACATATGTTATGTGAATATTAGATCAACTAGTTACATATTGCATCAATTTAATTAATATGAATTGCATTTATATTGTTAAGTTATATTTAAAAAATAAGTCAATTATAACAATTCATTTTTCTATTTATTTAATGATTTTCCAGTGTTTTAAGATAAACATTGAATTAATTAAATTAAAAAATGGAAAATACGACATGTTTCTCATTGACTTCTATAAACAGATTCATGTGTCAACAAAATAAAATAAATAATTGAATATCAAGTGGTAAATCACTTTAATCACTAAGTGGATGTTTAATTTGCATATATTGTTTCCATCTTACAGATGTATAGCATAGCAAATTTCCTTTTAGTAAAACTAATTTTATATAGTTAACTTTAATATCAGAACAAATTGGCCTACTATCAAAAAAGGGTATGAACATTATCTGTTATTTTATAATTTTAAAGCGAATAAAGAGTATTTATAATACTATCTTATCAAAATTTTTCATCATTTGCTTGAAAATTAAAATATCATAAAAATACTAACGACAATAATAAATAATATTTTTACTTTCAATTTAAATCAATTCATTCTAACATTAAAATTAACAACACAAAATAAATTCTACTGAAAGAAAATTTGCTATGTTATACATTTGTATCATAGAGACAATACTTAGAAGTATAACATTCCTTTAATAAAAATTTGAAAATAGTTGAAAGACATCTAAACTATTTAAAAATAGTTGAAAGACATCTAAACTATTTAAAAATTTTTTATAAGAGCTATAAAATCTAATTTATCATTTTAATATGTATTACTTAAATAATCTTGTATCATATAATATAAACAATTTTCTTTTTAAATAATAATAATACTTTTATAAAATTAATTTAGTATAATATTTATTAATTTTATATATTAATAATTATAATTAATAAAATGCATGTACACCAATTTAAGAAACACTCAATTTCTTGGTTGAATTATATTGTTTTCAATTCAAAACTTCTTTATAAAGCTATAGGGCACTTAATAATAATACATTTAAAAAAACATTTCAAAATTTTAACCTTCCAGCATCCACTAACACGGTACAACTCTTATTAAAAATGAAAAAAAACAATACCATATTTGTGTAGGTTTAGTTTTCATAGTTATTTTGCTTCAACAACTATTCAACTAAAATCAATATTATGAAAATGTTAAATTTTCTGATAGTTATAAACAAGCCTAGCTTATCAAAACAAAATAGATTCAATACAACTGACTAATTGAGTGATTTCTAAATTGATGAGTACACTGTATATATATTTTAATTATAATTTAAAGAACCTTATAGAAAAGTTGTATACAATAGTTCTCACCCTTGTCATTTTGAATAAATTCAAACATCTTGATCAAACATTTCTGCATATTCAAAAAATCATAACTATTATTGTGTAGATCACTAATCTTTGCAAATGGCTTTTCATCTTGGTTTGAATTATTTTTACGAGCAAGAACCTTATATTTATTTTTTTCTTCATCAGTCATAGACTATATTAATATAATAATAATTAACAAAATTAACTTTAAAAACTCATACCATACTAGGAGTAGCTAAACTGTTATTAAATATTTAAGTTATAGTTATGATAATTTGTTTTTATTGTCATAGGATTGGTGCAAATATATTAAAAAAGTATGATCTTTTTTTTAACCCGTCATTGCTTGCGTGAAAGAATTTTTCTTAAATTGTTTTTAAGATGAGAACTACTGGCAGTTGTATCTTCCTATATGCCCAAGAGAATATACACAAGTAAAGACGGGTTAATAGTAAATAATTATAAGTAAAAAATTATACCACTCCTCAACTACACAATAGATACCATTTAGAGATTACTTACATTCCATATGGGTGCTAATTTATTACTTAATTGTTGGAAGCTAGAAGGTTTTTTTCTGTCATTAATTTCTTCATTTCTATGATCAGTCAAGAAAATAGCAAATGCATTTTTTTTGGTAGCCATATTTACCTCTAAAAAAAAATAAGTTTAATGCTGTATTAATTGGTAATAAATTTAATTAGAAAATCTTAAAACTGTGGCTAATTGTATAATCTAATTACTTATATTTTTACCAATTAAAGAAAATAATATTCAATTTAGGTAACTAACTGGTGTTCCCTTCACATTTATTAAGATGGTTATATATTAGGTACCTATACTTTTTAGAAGTGAACATTTGTATTTTAAGATTGTATATATTTAATAAAAACATAAATTACACTATAAAGTTAAGAAAATGTGATATCAATACTTATTGATTGTTAGAAAGTTATTTTATTAATTTTATAAAATATGTTTCTAAATTTCTTAATTGTCAAGCAATATATTACAAATTTTCCATTCATTTTTTGTCTGTGTAAAACTGAAAATTTACTGTTCAATAAATAAAAGTAATTGCTATAAAAAAAAATAATGGAAAATGTGGTAGATTACTGAACGTGTATGAATGTATAATCGCAATGGAACTTTTGTGAAGTATGTAAATACCCTAAAAAAGTTGATGAACGTGCATAAATACTTAAGCTTTGGGTAAATATCTAGTGGAGATAATATTTATTTTTTAAGAATATTCCCAATAAACCAAACATATGTATAATACTTGTACAGTTAAAATGGGTATATTTAAAATGCCGTATGGGTACGTCAGTTCCTACATAGTACGTGTTGAAACGTTTAAAATAATTTTTATATGGATTGTTGAATCATTGAACAGTAATTTAATTTGCATACTTTACCTTTGCTCAATTACAATAGTGGTTAAACGAAACTGAAAAACGTAAATAATATTAAGTACTGTACAGTCTGTACTCTGTATACAATACTGAATAGTGATAAAAGAAATAACAATGTGTTGTGTTGACAAGTTTAGTAAAAATCGTAGGCATAATATTCTAACATCCGACAAGGTACAATCACAAGAATCATAGAACAATATACTTCAGGTAGATTGGCGCGGTAGGGCTTATCAGTAATCGTAGACACGCAGCGGTTGTTTTTGCGGAATTACTGTGAATTATCAACTATAAAGAATATTATAAATAATCGCGAGCACGATATTTTTATTATTATCAATATTATTATTACTCGAGCTTACGACACGTCCGAGTGATCGATCTGATCAGCTAAACACGATTGTGGCCTTGAAAATAGCAGCGCAGTCATCTGTAACCGCAGATACATATTATATACATTATAATATATTAATCAGTGTCTGTGACTCGAGTAAACAAACTTAACAAACGCATATCTCGCCATAGCCCCATGGCCCAAAGGTATCTCGTGTACGGACTCGTTTCCAACGTTGCTATGTTTCTGGGAGTTGGGTAAACAAGAACTTGATCAGCTGAATCAGTATCGTTTCAATAATTTTTTATGCTACAACCGCGATCACGCTATGCACTATGCAGGTTGGAGCGTTACGTCTTATCTCCCTTGCCGAAGTAATTAATGCGTAAACTAACAGCCTTAGTATAATTACTAAATAGTAATTATATACCCGAAATCAATACGCAGGATAATAAGGTATATCGTAATAATTATTTATCATTTATATAGAAACCGGAAGACAATATTATTTATTATTTACCAACTTACAGCAAAACAATCCGTCGTCCGTTGTTCGTATTATAATATTGTGTTAATGTAGATCTCTCCTTTCTAATTTACATATTATTTAACTCATAATATTAGCTTTAAAACATTACGATTATTGTTTAATTTCATATTGCACAACTTATAAATTCAACTTGTTTAAGAGATAAATAAAAATGAAATCATTAAAAATACTTTAAAGGAGGCTAGAAATTACACTTTTTTTTAAATATTAATTAATGAATTATAGTATTATTGTAGAACCTCATATTTGTAGGTATAGAATTTTATAGTACTCCAGACTCCTTCAATAAAGTGTTACTATTATATTATATCAATGATATTTTTTTGAGACTAAATAACATAATACATATATTTTTGCAAAATAAAAAAGCTTAGATATTTTATACTATCAAATTATACTATTTAGTATTTTTCATTATTCCATTTGAATCATGAAACAACAAATTTTAAGATAGCTTTATTGCGATATAATTGTTATCATAAAAGTATAATACAATATAATTTATATATCTGTGTATAATGATGATGGCGAATTTATTTATATTTAGCAATGAACTAAACTGGTGACTGTATATTTTTCGAGATGAACTTTTTGGACGCTTTTCTGTGAATGGAATATAATTTAAGTAGGGCCCGAAACTTGATGACCTAAAAATTTTTAAAAACGTACATAAAAAAATTATTAAAATAACTTAAAAAATTCCATAGAAATACCAAAAACTAACATAAAATTTTCAAAAATTACGTTTTTAATAATAAATCATCAAAAAATCATCGTTTTTAAATTGTATTTTTCTGACTTTAAACAATTCTAATATTTTTATAGATTAAATATGTTTTTTTACAGACTACAGAGTCTAAATTAAATTTAAAACGAAGATAAGAAATAATGTCAGTAATACAAAATAATTATATATAAAAAAAAAAAAACCAGTATTTTAAAAAAAATAATTGAAGGATTGGGCTGTACAATACGTTAGTTTTTCAAATTTTTAATCTTATTTAAGTAATGTAAAAGAAAATGTAACAAATGCATCAAAATCAGTAAAAAAAAATAACCGTATAACCCCAAATATTACCGAAAAAGCAAAAAAATATAAAATAAAAATGTTTTCATTAAATTTTGCATAACATAAGTCACATTTCTAAAAAAAAAAAGCCTCGTATAAAAGCATTAGAAAAAAAAAGCAAATCCATCTAGTTTCGGGGCCTAAATATGAATAAACAAATAATTTATAAATATTACCTATAATAAAGAACATAATTTTTAAAATATTCAGATGATTATAGTATATAGAAAAGTTTTGATAAAATTTATAAAAAAAATGCTATTATTAAATTAATATCGACGAAAGTCATAAAAAAAAAAATGTATCTAATAGTATTGATGTATGTATAAGTACAAGCTATATGTAACGAGTAACGACTAACGATGTTAGTTGAACTAGCCTACAAACAGTCCAAACACTATTCTAGATTTCACTCAAAATTATCATCACACGCAAACCCTATAACTTTCTCATTTTCCTGTAAATCTCTCTCAGGTAATTTAACTTTAACACGCTCCAAATGTCAAAGACGCAGAGATTTATTCAAATAAGTAGATACACAACAAAAATAAAATCACGTTGGATTTCATCATTGGATTGCTTCCCTTCTCATATTATTTTGTGAAATCAAAAATTCTATAGTTGTCATTATATTTTCTAATTATTCATGTAGCATAGGAAGTACATTTTCTAATAAAAAAAATAAAATAAAATTAATAGTAAATAATTTTTAAATTTGAATAGTAATTTAATTTTTTATTTTATTAAAATCGCAATTATTATTCTATTTTTTGACTATTACCTGCCCGTGACTAAGACATAATGGCAGTCTAATTAATTTAAAGTTCTACTTTAGGTTATTTATTAAGTATAAAAGTTCCATCTCTTTTTTAAATCTCAGACATAATTAAAACTTATACAATTTGATGTTTAATCATCAAAACTATGATCAACTATAGCTATGGGTAATATAATTTAATAATAAATCATTGTTTATTATTTAGTAAATAGTAATTGTTATTAAGGAAATCGGAATTACTATTAAAATAAACATCAAATTCACTTATTAAATATATCCCTTATGTATGTGTACTATGGAATTAAACAATTCTATCCCACTCTAATTATACATTTTTCATCTATACTTATTATTTTAATAATAATATTCTTTTGAATTGGGACAACAAATTACCTGTCTGTTACTTTTATACATATTGCACAAGCCACAAAAACCCAAAAACAATTGTATTATTTAATATAAATTCTATACAAATAAAACAATTTGTAATAACATTTATAAAAGTAAATATGGATGTACCTATATATATGTTTTCTTAATTTATTCAAAAATAATTATATAAATTGATTATCCTTTTTCTTGAATTTTCAAATCTTTATAACTTAAATTATGTTTAATTTTCCAATCTTTGTTGTATATTAAAATAGGTATTTTTGAAATATATTAACAAAAATATCAAATGAAAGCTGAAAAACATCGTTTTCTAATTTTAATTTTTTTTATTGGAGTAAAGTAATTATTTATGTATAAGTTATAATAATTAAAAGTCATTGTATCTAAAATTTAAATTTTAAGAAAAATAACTATAAACTTTTATTTTGTTAATGCTTTCTATACAAAAATCCAAGTACATTCTTATGAAACATAGTATTTTAGTTTGAATATTTTATACTTTTATATTGGGTATACTTATCACTTATTTCTTCCATTTGAACTGTTGTAAAATTACAGAACACTGTAAACATTTAAAATAATAAAAAAAAAAATTAAGCGACTAAGAATATTCTAGTCTTATACTTGTTATGTCCGTGTTACAATTTGAGGTGGCTAAATGTTCTAATTCATTGTTATAAAACCTTCGAACTATGTGTATTTGATATATTTCCATAACTGAAAGTAAACATAAATAGTCAAATTTTTCAAACCAGATTTTAACAATTAATATTTACCTATAATAATAATAGCTGTGACAATCACACATTTATGATGTAGATTTATTAATAGATAATAACACAATAAAGTAGACAATAGAGTGTAAAATGTGCAATGAAACATCAACCACTGCTGAATAAATGAAACATTGTGCTGGGGAAAAAAATATATATAATATGTAATATCGTCTATGAGTATAGACAATATTTAATTTTAATTAGAAAATTAATATTTCTTATTACCACAAAAGTTGCTTTCTTCAATTTATTATTAAAGTAAAGTATCAAATATAATAAGAATAATAAGAAAATAATTGCCAACTTTATGTACATTTCGTCTGAAACAGATAAAAATGTTATACCTATTTTTATTTTCATTTTATTCAAGAAATTTTTCTGATTTTAAATATTACGAGTATTACGTATTGCTGGTGAATGATTAATTAATTTATTTTGGATAAAATATAAATACAGTGAAACCTGACTTAACGGACACCTGTATATAACGGACACTTCTCTTAACGGACAAAATGTCCGGGTCCCGGCAAAAAGATAGGCATTCCAATGTATTTCGACCTGTCTATAACGGACTCCTTCTATTACGGACACGGACACTAATATTTAACCCAAAAATTTCATAACGGACAAAAATACATACTACAAAACAGTGTCGATAAAGAACGCAATTAGGTCATTCAGTGAAAACACGGATTACGATAAATTACATTATCACCGATTACGATAATGCTAATTGCGAGTACCTATTGAATTTATAAAGTTGAAATTTGTGCAACAATTTAGGTTAATACAATTTAACAGAAATATATCCAGATATAAATTGCAATATGTATAAATGATAACTATGAGTATTAAACGTTTTTATTCAGTTTCTAATGTTTTTATCGGTTCGCAGTCAGAGTTGTTGTACATCATTTCCTTAGCAATGCCACCTACCGTGCCGCGTAAAGCTTTCAATTTAAAACAAAAGGTGGACATTATTCGTTTTAAATACTCAAATGGCGGTTGGTCTATTCGTAAACTTAATATAATATGTATAATAAATTTATAATGTGTCATTGTATGTATATAATATAAAAATAATAATTAAAATTAAATTTATAATTATGTGTATAATGTATAACATTAATAAAGATTATACCTAATACATATTATAATATATAAAACAATACAAACAAAATGTATAGATCATGCTTTTAGATTAATTTTATTTTTAAAACATTGAAACCTGTCTACAACGGACACCTGTCTATAACGGACAATTATTTTGGTCCAGTGACTGTCCGTTATATACAGGTTTCACTGTATAAGGTTTTTGTTTAGTATTTAGCAAGGTTTGTAAATAAAACTAAATATTTTAATTGTTTTTAGTAAATAGTAATATTAAAGTTTTCAGGACACATAATTTCAAAACAGATTTTATTTGCAAATTTGTAAGTTTTAAAATAAAATAACAACTTATCAATGAAATATGTGTTGTATATTCTATGCTAGTATACTACATTATAATTACAAGACCTAGATTTAAAAATTGAAATTATAACACATTTTGTTGAAAAATATGAAACTAATTTTTTCACAAGTAACAAAAAAAAAAAAACAACTATTTTAATACTTACCAAGACAAAATTCACATTTTAATAAAAAATTGTTGACTTACCAATTATTTTAAATTTATCCTCTTTATACAGTAGAATAATTAATATTGTGATGCAAAGTACAAAGAAACCCTAAAATAAATAAATTATATTACTTACATAATAATTTATAAACTTAAAATAAATGTAATGATTTATAACAATTTGATCTGAACCTAAATTTTATGTTTATCAAATAATTTTTGTAATTTAGGTATATATTTATATATACAGTAAAACCTCGATTATCCGGGGTAATGATGGAGAGAGGGTCACACGGATAAATGAAAATCACGGTTAATCGAGACTTTTTATAATAATGAAATTTTTTATTTAATTATAATTAGAAATACATAGGTAAAATGTTATAATAATGAAATTTTAAAAATGTTGATTCAATTATAATTAGAAATACATAGGTACAATTTTATAATAATGAAATTTTAAAAATTTTGATTCAATTGTAATTAGAAATATACATAAGAAGACGTATACATACAATAATATACATAATATTTTCGGAATAGTGGGCACGGTTAATCGCAAACACGGATAATCGAGGTTCTACTGTATATTTTTTTTTAGTTTAATTTTTGTAGATAATTAGATATGATTTATGATAAAACTATAAAAGTATTCATTACATGTCAATATCACTAGTCGGACCTATCAAACATTTATTTATAATTTGCTATAGTAAAAGAAGTTTTTTATTATACTATAAAATCAATACATATCTTAATATCTAAATATTTGTTAATTATAATTGTTTTTATCTACAAAGGCTTTAGAATAATAATTTTAAACTATTTTAAACAATATATACCTACTTATCACGCTGTTTTACAGTTGGTACGTACCTATATATATTTTTTTTACTTATAAATTAATATAGCGACTACAGACTAGTAAATAATAAATATAACAATAAATTATATGAAACTTACTAGAATATCGTATTATTATCATAAATTACATACGATTTATTTTTAGTAAAAATCAATTTAACCTATTAATTTGGTGTCAATTTTTTAAATTTTCTGCAATTATATAAAATTTTAAAATTATATTTTATACATAAATTAACTCTTAAATCTTATTACTTTTCCACTAAGCTACTGATGGGACTGCCTGATACCCATTTAGGGTTTAATTTAACATATTATATTGAATATGGTTTGCTATTATAGAATACAAAACCATCAAATTATGCAAAATTAAAAACTGATATATTCCTCGTTTTGATCAAGATTTCAAATTCGATTCTATAAATCTCAACACAATAATTATGGTTTACTATGATTTTGGGACATTTTTTAAATATCTTAAAAAAAAAATATATATATATATATATATATATATCTTAATACTATATTATCATTTAATATAATATACTTTACTCTCTAAAAAAATAATCATATATTTATTACGTTAAAAAATATTTTTTAGAAGTTTTCATATTAAGCAAAATATTATACAGCTGGTACATACATGAACACCTGCAATCTGCATTAGAATCATTAGATAGTACCGTTAAATATTACTATTATTATGCTGTATACTTGATAAAATGATTGCGCACGTCTATAAAAACTCTAATGTGATATTCGCTTTTATCCGTTTCCGCAAATGTTATTGAATATGATTCACATTGCATACATTTATATGAAAATCAAAAGGTATCTAATAATAGCTTGTTGGCATATACTATACAGCTACACTATAAAATTGTTTTTAATAGTTGAGCCAAAAGTTAGTTCAATAAATTATGCCAATCAATGATAACTAATTATTGTATAATATTTCTGAAGCTTAGAAATGTTAATTGATTTTATACACTTGTATGTTACAGGTAGTATATTAATCATTTAGATTCAGAAATTACATTCAAAGTGAGTTATAAATTTGATTTTACCATTTAAAGACTTAAGGCACAATTCCATTCACAAAAAGATTTCAAAAAGATAATGGAAATTATACTTTTTAGAGTACCTATATAATTTATATAGGTATTTTATGATTTATGATTACACATATGATAAATCTCATTTTCTGTGTTTCTAATGTATATTTTGTTAATTTTATGCAGTTTGGAATATCTTTTATGCAAATATTTACTATGTGCATTGAAGATTATTTTGATCACATATTGTCTATATTATAATGGTACTTAATGGGACATTTAAAAATGATCCTTTATTTTCTGTTTACAATAAAAATATTAATACAGAATCATTTCTGAATTAATTTTAAATATTTTTGTAGATACTCATTTTTTATTTGTAAAATAAGCAATTAAATATTTTTTTCTGTATGAATAATGAGTACAATATACTAAAAGTATTATTTCAATCAATGAAAATGTGTCGTTATTTATTTTATTTTAAATATTTTTTTTTTAATAATTGCTAAGATACTTTATTATGTTTAACACGGACTAGTAAACAATTGTTTAAGCAACCTAAAATGCTTTTTTATGGTTGTGTTTTAAGCTACCTTTATGTCATTTCTTTAATAGTATTATATCTGTTCTAACTGTTTGCACTGTAATATGAGAACCACTACACATCTACATCATATTATATTTAATGAGAGATATTTTTTAAATATAATCTCAACGAAATAAAAATCGTGACATTGATAACTGTATTTTTGAGTATGTTATATAATTATTTGGTCTTACTAAATATTTTGTCTATTTTATATAATCAAATGTTAGACAGGTTTTTAAAACCGCAAATTGAATACTTTCGAAGCCATATTGTTAATTATTAATTTATTTATTGTAAACAATTCATACTTAATTTATTATGTATCATACCGTCATTATATCATTATTATTAACATTTGTAGGTAGGTATATTTATTTATTTAAATATATTTAAAAGACAATTATTGCAGTTTCTTGTAATGTTTGAATGTATTATTAAAATTTAATTTAATTTAAAGTATCTTGAATTTTATTTAAATTTAAAGTTGAAATGCTTGTTAAAAAATTGTTATTATTGTGTATTTCAAAGATTTTTAAATAGTTAAAATAATTATTTTTAAGGAACTTTATAATGCATTTTCAAGCTTTTTATCGATAATATTAATTATTTTTTTTTTAATAGACCATATCTCATACCAGTCATACCAACAAATAGGTTAAAAAGAGTCATAATATTTTGAAAACATTATTATATATATATATACAATTCCAATATAAGAATTTAGTAAAAAAAATTTAAAAAAAATTATAGTCATTCATTTTTAGTACACCAAAAACACAAAATTTATTTTGTCAATAACTATTTGAGTGAAAAATCTCCATATTACCAGGAATATATAATATAATATAATGTACATACTTTAGGTACCTACAGGTTACAACATACTATATATGTAAAATATAAATAATATAATTATACCTATCTATTATAAGTAGCTAGGTATTACTAGTATTAAATATATTTACCATGTTGAACGTTGCTATTGAAAGAGCACATCCACATACGTTTAAAAAACCAAAAAAACATTCAAATTTTATCATATCACTGCTGTTGTAAAATGTAAGGTGCCAAATACAGCATTAATAATAATTATGAGTATAATAAATTCATTGATTACAGTTAAACGCAATTATTAATTTTATTGTCGACCGACGTGTGACGTTCATGACTCGCATCGTATAATAAAATAAAATATCATGTCTCGGCTGTAGCGGCGATTACAAAACATTATATTTTAGCTATACCCGTGTCTAAATAATCAAGGCGATTTATATTATATATAGCGATACCGAGGCGTATATTACGTCGGAGTAATAATGATAAATGTTACCTATATACGTAGGTATATATTTAGATTTCTACCTAAGTATGTTATCTGTCAGTCTTAATGATTTTTAGTATTTTTTTTTATTTTATCGACACGTTCCACGCACTCTCTGGTCTCAAGTAAATATATGTATATACATTATTGGAGGTAGTTACTTTAGCTTAGTGGAATTTGTTTAAATGATTTTAAATTCTATTAATTAATTTGTTATACATGGCAATCGATATAGATAGTGTATTACGGTGTATAATTTAATATTTTAAAACAAGTACAATTATAAAAGCCCGGTGACCGTGTATCTACTCTTAAATTATAATTAATTATATAGGTACTAAACTATTTAATTGAAACAATTTGTTTGAAAATATTTACGTGTCGAGGAGTAGATGAAATCTATTAAAATCGAAAAGTGAAAACGGTGTACAACGAAGACTAAACGTAAAGGCGCTTGAATACGGCATGTAAATCAACTTATAAAGTTGAGTATATAGTTTTTGTGAATCATAGCTTGATGGAGTATAATACTTATGCTCAACATTTATTTAGACACACAAAAAGTATCATATTATTTAATTATATTTCAATAAATAAATTACATTAAATGCAGTCTATTATTACCTTAAGAACTAACCATAAATATCTTTAACATAAATTCCAGAATAAATATCTACAAAAAAATTTGAAAATTATACCTAACATAATATTATAATACAATCTTTTTTGTATTAATATTTTAACTAAATTAAATAAGAAATCAATATTATTTTATCAAATGTGAGTTTAATATCTCATATTCTCATATAGTAGTAATCCCTTGGTACACTAGACACCTGCTATACAGCGACTTTTATCTGGCAACTTATAGATAAATGCAGTAATGCCAATGTCATTTGAAATAGGTAATTATGATAAACGTTTAAGTATAGTAGTATGCCTACCATGAACCCCAACCCACAAAATAGGTATTGGTATTCATTAATACCTAATAAATGTTCTAGTTTCATTAATAGTCTAAACGAATTGAATAACATCATAAAAATATACATTTTAATTTGTAAAATTACTATAATATTAAAGTAACATAAACGGTTAAGTGGGTTTTGATGATGGTGCAAAAATAAGTAATTGAAATAAAAAATAAAAAACTATTGTTTAAAAAGTTATCACTTTATTAGTAAGTGTTCATCATAGTAATGAAATATGATAATGTTTTAATATTTAAATACTTTTATTATTATGATTATGATTAATAGCCACTTGTGATGGGGTATTGTATTTTGTTTATTCCAGGAATATATTTTCTCGAAACCATATTTATTTGGAATCAGGTTTAATTGAAAAAAATATTTCATCAGAAATTATTTTTCAAGAACTGTACAAATTTGAAAAGAAATATTCTATTAGAAATTATACTAATTGAGTAGTATATTTGTTCAGAAAAAAAAATATAGATTTTGAAACCATAATAATTATTAATTAAGTTGTTTGTGCTTATAAAGTCCTATTTGAGCGATAGAAGAGTTAACAAAAAAACACAATACTAATATAAAAATTAACTTCCTACTATGATTACCTATACTTTAATAGCAATATCACGAAATATACTTGGTGACATTATATAGTTAGTCAGTGAAGTCACAACTATTATCTAGTATCTACCTATAAAGCTTACACACCTAATTATAATCATTATTATTAATCGATTTTGCCATATTATAATAATTGCATAGTTACGTAAGTGCGATATACCACTCTCCATCAGCTTTTTTATTTTGAAATTTAAACGACCATATTTACAACAACTCTGTTAAACTATTTGTTTACGCTGTTAAGCTCTTTCTGGCAGTTGACTCGACAACTCGCACCGTACAATAATGATTCAAATAGGTTTGTATATGACAAGACTACAAGAGTCAATAAATATGGTGAAATATGATTGCAGAAACGACATGAGTCAATTTTTCAAAACTTTTGGATAATTGATAAAAAGTGTATAATTTAAATAATTCTGAAAAAAATTCCTATTTAAAAATGAATAGGTACTATTGTAGAAATATATGATGCACTGATTATATATAATTTGCGTGTATAAATAATATGATGTTTTTTTATTATAGACTTTCAAAGTTCTGACTCATGACGTTTCATAAAAAATGTGATTCGTGTCGTTTTTGCAATCATCGATTCATGTATAGGAATTCTATTTTTAATTATAACTTCTAAACAAATTTAATAAAAACAAAAAAATATGTAAAGTTTATTTAAATATTTTATCTAATATTCTGAAAAATAATACTATGCATTGATCATTTTTTATCATTACTAGTGTGTTTTGCTTTTTATCTGGACAATTTGTTATTTTATGATACTTTATAATTTAATATATTTTTTTGTAAGGATAATAATTTGTTTTTAATATAAAGATTTTGTGTAGGTTTAAGTAGATCACTTTGTCAATTCTTCCCATCTATACTTTTCTACAGCTGCTAATTTTTTATAGTAAGATGGTTGAAACTTATTTAAGTCAATATTAAATAGGTCTTCATAGTGGCCTCTTAGGTACCAGTAGAATTATCGATAGTTCTAAACTATACTAACTATTGAACCTATTTTTCGTTGCCTCTTTTTTTTAAAACTTTTTTTGCAATAAGTGGTCTTAAAAAATATTTTAACTATTGTAAGTTGTATTTAATAAATGATTTATGTACCTGATCGTAAGAAAAAAAAAACAATAACTTTTTGTAAATACAATTTTTAATTTCATTAACTCATTAATTAAATCCAAAAATTGCAAAATCGTTCTCGTATTAAAGTATGACAATAAATATCATAGTTATAGGTACACACATATCAGTTCAAATGTAGTATCCATAATAATATATAAATATGATATTATATTAATGTTATCGGAGAATAAAATTTTTCCATTTTTTAAGTACAAAACCTATGTAATCGTTTCTAAATATAGAATATTATACTACTATTTTTATTAGTTATTATTTATTAATAAAAATATGGAATATTTTTATGATGCAATAATACATAGTTTTTACTTGTTCAAGATATTTTAACACGTAGACGTAGGTACAATTATATTGTTGAAGTGGTCAAATTTATGATTTATCTATCTATTTATTAGACACAAACATTATTTATACAGATTTTCATAACAGTATTTTGTGCAGTTAGATAAAAAATATATAACTTAATGTGGCAAATTAATTGATAATTATTTGTGATATTTTATCTGGTTTAAATAATATTAAAGCATAACAGCATACAATATTCTCCAAAAGCACCAATAGATTAATGATTTAATTTAATTTTTTTTTTCAATTGTTACATAACAAAAGTATGACAATTTTTATTTATTTTTTAATGTTATTTTGCCAATTGTTACATGTATAGAAGTATTACAATTTTTATTTTATAAGTTAGGTATAATTTTAACATTTGTATTTTTTAATACATATAAGTACTCACAACTATTATTTTATATTTTTATATATAAAAAAAAAATAGATAGTTATTAAATAAAATATGTACGCAGATTGCACACCGCACGGTAAAAACTTGCATCATAAAACAGTTATTTAATCTACAAATGTTCATAAATCGCACGGTAAACAAATGCACAAAAACACGGTTATTTAACTAACAGATAAACCCAAATCGTATTGTTAAAAATAGGATAAATCTACGGATATTTAACCAACAACAGCACTGTAAATGCACTGTTTCATTTGTGCCTAGTTTGAACAGTATAACGGTGTTTAAACCAACCAAAGCATTTATAAGGCACGGTTAAACCCATGTAAAAAATCGATGTTCATTTTTCGAAAAACACGGTGCTCTGAATCAGTTTTGTACCGTACTTTGAACCATTGAGTTAATGTATTATACAAGCAGACTGTCTACACTCAAAATAGTAAATACTACTCAGTACTCGGGCAGCTGATTGAGTGTTGTTTCTATATTATTCTGTGCTGTGGGTGACCCTCTTCCCGTTCCATATCATTACGCGAATCGTTATCACTAACCGCGATATTAAAAGTAGATGCGAATACAATATGGATGAGAAGTTTTTTGATGCAGAAACTAAGAGTGATCTTCGGAGTATTAATATAAACATGTCTGATAATATTTTGGAAATATTTAACAAAATCATTGGAAAACTTATTTCTAGAGTAAAAGTTTAAAACAGAAAGTTAGTTTTTTTTTTTAATTCAAACTAATTTATTGTAACTAAATTAAATTTATTCATATATATATATCATTGTCTAATGAACATAGCATAAATACGCGAAGTTACAAATATGCGTGAACTGTTTAACACTATTCAGAAATAACAAACGACAATAAAGAAGCAACAATCCACGATTGAAAAATAGAATAATTGCGATGAAGAACGATTAAAGGAAAAGGTTAAAGCTTTGGAAAATTAGTTTTTTATGCACTTAAATTAAAATATTGTAAAATATTTTTTAGTTAGAAATAACTTATATTATTCAATGATTTCTAGAACAATATAGAGGCGAAGAAGAAAAAAGAGCACCAAGAAAACTACAAGTAGGTATTAAAGAAATACATTTTTAAAAATTTATTGAAAACTAATCATATGGTTATTAAAAAATTTGTTTTTATTTAACTTTCAGTCATATCGTTTTGAAGAATATTCCTTAATAAATTTGGCTCAAATGTACAAAGTCTAGGATGTGCATGAATTATCGAAAATTGTTCAGAATCTACTACAAAATACTGTTAAGAAGCAACAATTAATGATTGAAAATAAGAAAAATTGTGATTAAGAACAGAAGAGCTTAAATTAGATGAGTGATATGACTACTGTTAAAAACGATTTGAACACGTTAATCACAAATATCAACGATCTCAGAACTCAAATGATGTTTATAGAAAGTACTAAGTAGTATAGGTACTTAGTACTTACTTAAAGATAATAAAACTAAGTATTAAATTTCAACTAAGACTAACGATCATTTGGAAATATCAAAACGTCAAATAGCAAGTTAAGCAAACTTAAGAATAAAATCGGAATTCTTGAAAGTAATTAGAAAAATATCAGATAATGGTATATAATCACTAATTAGGTAGGTGTGCATATGTCGTGCGTATGTGTAAGAGAAGTGACAAAAAATTCTGTTCATATTGGGATGAATTATTCATATTAAACGTTGTTGTCGACAAGACTGAATTTGAGAGCTGCTGTTTCATTAGTAAAAAACATTTTAAACGAATCCTGTCAAATACATTAACGTTATCTTCATCAATTACGACAATGAGGTCAGCATCGTCACGCCAAATTTCGAATCTACCTCCTTCTCCGCCACCACCATCATCAATTTCGGTAGTTTTTGGATTGGCATCACCATCTCCACCGATCTTTAGTATAATAGTATACCGTCAACACGTAGTGGAGGTCAAAGTGTCGGCGTCCGGCGACTAATTCGTTTCAGGCGGCTGTGCCTGATAAAAGTATAAAACAACACCAATAATTTTTAGAATACCAACTGTCATTTTACAACCACTACACGGAAAATAAATTACTATAAAATTATAAGTGGTATTGCTATTTTTTAGTTACTGTTCCTAATTTAATTTAGTAGATATTACTAACGTATCGTAGTTTAAATATTATAGATACTACCACTATTATTTAGTTACAATTACTATTTTGTCTTAACAAAGATTTAGAGAAAAAAAACCTAGGCGTATTTACTATAAATATTAGTTTCTTCTATAATAATTTATAGTGAAACAATTATTTATTTTTAAAATTCTGAGAATTACTAATGTTTTTGCTATCGTTGGACGACTTCTCTTCTCACCACAACAATTATGGAATTATGTAATACATATATCGTGTATCGGCCAATATGTTTAACGTTTCGTAAATTGTATTACGCATAAATTTGATCGTTTATAACTTATAAATTATAAGTGCCTACAAGAAATAAAGTTTTTGAAGATCGTCAGTTTGTGATTGAGGTAAGTTTATTTATTTTACTGTACATATATTATCTATACCATCATACTTAAATATATTATAGTTAGTAGTAACTTACATAGTAATATAGTATTGGTAAGCAGTGAGCCATTGCTATTAATGCACAGAGGAATTTTGAGAGCACGTATTACAATACTAAAGTAGATAACTTCTTGGTTCTTTATAATATTAAATTATGTTAAAACATTTTGGGTATTCACTTAACATTTTTTCAAACATTTAATATAAAGTCATGATAAACCAATTAAATGTAGGTAGGTACTTATTGCAGTATTGCTGTTTGATTACCATTTACCTAGACTATAAACTATAATGCCTAGTAGTCTTGATTATAATAGGTATTTACTAGTTACTGGTTAGAATCAATAGGTACATAGATGTCTGGGAACTCGGGCTTTTGTAGACATTTTTGAAATATATTAGGCATCTATTAGAAATATCAAAGATTTTTTTATTAAAATTAATATTTATAATTTTACAGCATAAATACTTCTTTTGAAATACCTAAATAATTTATTTTGTTGTAATATTTTCTTAAGATTGTTATCATCAAGTACATTTTTTATTAAATAACCATTAATTTTATAGTATAATTTTAATTTGTCTTGTAATCATTGATAATTAAATTGCAATTTGTTCTAAAACTATAAGCACCTATTAATTTTTAAAACTTGATGCTAAGTTATGCATTTTGTCCTATTCTAGATGTTTGAGATTAGGTACATGTAAATAAATTACAGAAATTATTATTATTTACATTTGTTTCCATGTGATCCAGTAATTTACACTCATACCCATCTGTACTTGTATTACTTGGTAACCCTTTTAAGTACCACTGTCCATAAGTAATAGTACTAATGATCAAACTTTACAGTATTTACTTCAATAATATTTAAAATGTTTTTTTTTTTTTTATTAAATGTGTCCATTTTTAGTTATGTATTTGTACATAGAAACAAAATTGAAAGAATGAAGATTCTCGACAAAAACTTTTGAAGTTTTAAAGGTACCTTCTATTTATTTTTATTTTCCAGTTATATTGTTTAAATATCTAGGTTGTTTTTAATAAATATCTAAAAATTATTTCTAGAATATACAGGTATTCCATTATTTAAATTTATTCAAATAATACATTTTTTATTAAATTTAGATGAAGAAATAAATGAAGAGGCATTGTTAAGTTTATCTGAAACCATGATTTTTCAGTTATTTCCTATCTATTTAATTTTTAATTTTTAAAATACCTACTTATTATCAGAACTGGCCAGAGGAAGATCGGTAAAATTTTTTTGACGAAATGGTGTTAAACGACGACAAAATTATGCTAACAATTTTATAACAATCTTAATGACATGGTGTGTTTAATAAGTCATTAAATCGTTAGAATATGAATTAAAATAATTATCAGTGATAAAATTATTTTATTGATTTATTTAACTATATGTCGTTACAATGTTGATCAAAGTAATGCATATTAATGCAACGGTGAGTGTCAGATTATATCTAGAGCTAGAATTTATATGCAACTGTATGTTTTTTTTTTTTTGAAACTTCTGATTATTGCATTTGTTAGTAATTGCCACAAATTCCCAACGATGAGATAAATAGTGGTGTTTTTATTTTGCATATTTTTACTTTTTAGTTATATTATATCATTATTTATTTTACTATACACAATTAATTTCAAGATATTATTTATGTATAATACAAATCTATTTTTAGTGTTTTACAGTACATAGTTATAAAAATATTTAATTTAATTTTGAGTTATATAAGTTGATACAGTATAAATATATATTATTTTAATAATAATTTATTAATAAAGTAATGAGTAATGAATAATAACTGTAATGGTATACAAAAGAATATAGAATAGTTATAAAATGTACTGTTTAGTTCTAATATCATAATTGTTTGCACAAATAAAAAAATGTAGTTCTAATGTATTAGTGTCACCAAATAAGTTCAATATTATAAATTTTAATAATACGTCTCATAATCACCTCTACTCCGAAGACTTGAGCATAGGATCAAGTATAAGTGCTGTAAAAGAAAAAAAGCAAACATAGATTTAAACTCAAAACCAGGTAAAGTTTTACGCTCAACTTTACTCCCAAAACGAAATTGTGTATTTTGATTTATTATCTATTTATCGTCTATTAGGCAGTGTATATGTTGTAGGCATATGGTCAAATCAGGAATTTTATTAAATACCTAGGCATATAGTCAAAGAATTTAATGTTTATACAATTTCACTATCTGCCTAGATATTTAACTAAATGCTTATTTAATACCAGGCAAATAATAAAAAAACATTTTGTATTATTTTAAAAATTTAAATATATTTCTTATCAGTTATTTATTGCTATTTTATATATAAAAAAAGGTATGTATTATTTATTGATATGAAAAACATGTAGGTATATGAAATAATATGTTTAATTCCATGTTCATTATTATTTAGTATTGTTTTAAAAATGAAATCATAAATATAATATACAAGTAATAACTAATTAGATGTGATAGACGTAAATGATAGTACTAATATAATGTATAGCCTATAGTCAGTATAGTACAAGTAGTGAGTACTATATATTCTTATTAAATAAAATAAAAGTTCCATTGGTTTTTACCTTAGAAAATTAATGTAGGTACTAGGTTGTATGAGAACCTTATCTATATTGAGTACCGTGAGACAAATTATAATCTTATCGATTATAACAACATACATATGACATTACGGAAAAAGATACAAAACATGCGATTGAATTGTACAATAATTTAGTTTAATATGTGTATTACATTTACGTAAATTGTATGAAATGTGACAACAAGTAATAGGTAATAAAAACTTGTAGTTATAATATAACTTTTTTATTTATTTTTTATGATTTCATTTTTAAAACAATAGTAATAATGGACACAAAATTAAACATATTATTTCACTAAGTTATATTATTATTATTATTTTATTTTCTACGTTTTTTACATATTAATAAATAATACATACCTTTTTTTATATATAAAATAGCAATAAATAACTGATAGAAAATATAATTAAATTTTTAAAATAATACAAAATGTTTTTTTATTTCCTTGGCATGAAATAGGCATTTAACTAAATGTCTAGGCAGATAGTGAAATAGCATAAACATTAAATTCTTTGACTATATGCCTACGATATATATATCGTGTTAGAGAACATCACTTTTCTACTTCGCCTCATACCAAAAAAAGAATCATATAAACAGCTTAATGAAATCCAAAAAAAAATATTTACTTTTAATGATGAACAATTTTGTTTTATTAATCAAGAAAAAAATATGAAAATAACATTCTTAGCAAATCTTAAATTTTTAAGCGATTCTGAACTTAGCATTATTATTATTACTATCAAATCAAATTTAATATGGATTTAAAGAGTTGATGTCTATTTGTTGGACTGATATTTTCAGACTGTGTTCTAAATAATTACATTATAGAAGATACAAAATTTCCGCTTTTACTGTGAGCAAAAGAACCAACTGGCAAACCTTCTATTACTAAAGTAATGAAACTAAATCATTTTATAGTAATTATAATTAACAATTTTATTATCAGCATCCTAATATTTATCAAGTAGTTAATATTTTAAAGGAAATTCAAACAGAAACCTAATATATCACATAATAATACTTTTACGTTACTCAAACACTGCCAGCAATAGACAGTGATCAGTTTGACCCTTATATTTTAGTTATATAGTGGACTGTTAAATAAAAATGATTTGGATTAAGAAACAAAATAAATTTATGTATAATAACTAATAAGGTAATCTATTATATATAATAATCTAATAGGAACAATGTTGGCTCTACAGCACAACTAACAGTATAGTATAAATGGTACAATATTGGCTCTATAATAGTACAACTAATAATAAAATAGGAACAACTCTCAGCAGCACAACACAATATAATAATAAAATAACAGGTACAAACTACAAAGTTGGCCCTACGGTAGTACAACTACTATAAGATAGTATAAATAATATGAGGAACAATGTTGGCCCTACAGTAGCACGACTAATAATACTAAAATGATATCTGGATAATATGAGGACTCGTGACAGTCTTTACCTTTTCAACTACATTGCACACAAATTTGTTCTACCCACACGATCAAGTCAAAGTCTGTAAGTATACTAATAATACAATAAAAAGGAACAAGGTGACCCTGCACTCGTGCGATTGTGTGAGTGTAGCTGTGTTGAACAATTCACAAAAAATGACAACTAAAACAATACGAATACACTAATTGCCGTCAAATGACAGACGTCATCATAATTTATGGATCTAAAATTGGATGATGGAAACTGTCCACAAGGTTATGCCAGCTCAAATCACACTACTCTACAAATGA